CGCCGACAAAGTGAGTGCAGAGATTACTAGGGTACTAGATGAGAAGATCGGGGTGGATCAAGATAATATAAAATTTACTAGTAATGGTCTCATGTCCAAATATTATGGGAACACGAAAGCAGGTAAGGACGTTCAGAACAAAATTAAGGAAGTAGACATTAAGGGTTACAAAATACTTCATCAAACTAGAGACAGCGAAGGCAAGGATTTTAGCGACAAAACATTCACTGACCAATTTGAGAATTGTGAACAGCAACTAGACCATTTCACTCAAGCCGTTCAGAAGCTTGTAAAAAAAAGCAATCAAACCAACACAGTGGACGCCTACTTGACCGACTTGAATAGTATGATTAGTACATCTATCGAAAAGGTTGGCTTCACTTCCGATATAACAGACAAAACCACCAGAGGCCTTCTCAAAATAAAGGAGGAACTTGTAACTCTGGAATCCAGAGATGTAGGGGGTGCCAAGCAAACCATCGATTCCATCCTCACAAAAATTAAAAAGCTGGAAGATGCCGCTAAATTCGTCGAAGACATGGGAGTAAAAGCAGAAGAGCGCATGAAGCAGTTGAAAAATGAACTTCAAATTAAGCTGGATATCGTTGGTGGTAACATCAGCTACGCCGACACACTAATCCAAAATGCTACCAAAGCCGTACGAACTACGCTAAATGCGGCCTTCGACGTGACACACGATAATCTCTTACGCTTAAAAGTATTTCTCATCAACACCGTCACTGACGCCTTTCAAAAATCAGAAACTGCTGTCGATAAACTCCAAAAAACCCTCATCACAAAAGTCGAAGATGCTTTTCATATCGTCACTACCGAAGTCCGAATGCTATTTTCTGAAAGCCGTGGAGCCGATTTGCTAGCGCTGAAAGCTTTAGTAGAAAGGCAGTTGTTTACCGTGGTATCCATCATACACGACGACCTAACAACCGGCGTCAAAGGCTTGTTAAACAATATTGACACATATTTGGTGCACGGCGGAGCACCATATATATTCCAAAATCTGAAAGATTTTAAAGTGGTGTCTCGTGATTTAAAGACATTCCTAGATGCCCTCCTCTCCTACACCACCGAACAGGTCAGGACGCCGAGCAAGACGAAGAAGGGAGAGAAAGAAGACAGTGATGAGTCCAAGAAAGTTGCAGAAATTCAGAGGGCCGTCGACAAATTACTCTCCCACCTCTCCAATCCTGACAAACTCTACAACTTCGACTATGATTTCCAACTAAAACTCTCCGCACTAACCGACGCAGTTCAAGCCCTGCACGCCGAAAAATTCGCCGGCCACCAGAATCCCGAATTGCTCGACGCGTTGAAGAAAGGGATGCTTGGCGTTACCGGCGAGTTGGGACACGCGTATGTTAATGCGTATGACGGACGCAAATTCACGGAAAACTTAGTCGACGCTAAATATGAATTAACCCCCTCAAATAATACCACAATCATAACGCTCAGAGATTATGGTGAGAAGTGTTCTAAAGTATGTGCCACAGTCTTTTTTATATTGTTCCGGGATATGAAAAATCTGAAAATAGGTTGCGGCGATAAATGGACATCTAATACTACGTATTCTGCTTCCGGTCTCGGAACATTCCTCAAGAAGTCTGGTTACAAGGTGTCCAAATATGAAAATGGTCATGAGGGGGAGTTGAGAAATAAGCCAGACTTCAAGGCTGACAAGATTTATGATCTTCTGATACATGAACACACACCTGTCCCAAGTGGTGACAAATTTAGGCTACTCGACGACTATGACGATTTAGATGATGAGAACAGTGTGAAACATTACAGTGTCCTTAAGAGGCTTTACAACCATCTCGAATCCTTCTACCGTGTCTCTCATCTCAACATCCCTCCGAAACCAAGAGCGCCGAGTAGCATCTATCAGATGCTCACATGGTGCTCCGGGTTGCGATACAATTACGTGTTCGACAACCTTTGCTTATACCTCATGGAACTGTTTGGCAAACCTGAGGGTTACAAAGATTCGAAGTATTCCGATATACCCAGTGCACTATTGCAATTAGATGCTCATCCACATACAATCACATATGATAGCTTAATACCATTGCTTAAGAAAGTATGCCAAAACGCAAGAAAACCGCTGATCGCCGTGCTTGGTTACGGCCATGCTGACGGTGTATATGCCGTTGATCACTTTAATAACTCGAGTAATCTATCATATCCCAGTAGCGCTGCTGTATGTTTTGATATGCTCTTAGATATATTGCAAAGACTATACCAGCAACTTTACTTCGTATTGACGCAGTGCCTCCGTGGCAAAAGCACCAGCGGCTGGCGTGACTGTCACTACGGCCGGCACGTCGGTGGGTCCAGCTGGCGGTGTAACTACCTCCAATGTGCTGACCAAACATGTAACCAAAAGCACAACCAAGCGGTCAAGCAAACAGCCAACCAACACAGTGACTGCGGACTGAAATCCCCTTTCCAATCTTTTCTGGAAGATGGTCTACAAGGCTTCTTGTCTCATTCAATTACCTCTCCTGGTTGCAAATTAACTTGCTCAGTTACCAACCACCGAGGCATCCCGTGCAAGACTCCGATGGGATTTGGGGAGATCAGCACAATGGCGTCACAAACACAGAAAGGTGAACGTCTTATGAGAGTGCTTCGTGATTTATGCGGTGATTCAGAGAAGCCTCTTAGCAAACTATGTGGTTACTTAGTGTGCCTTACGCATCGTGCTCCACAAACCCTTGGTGACATGTTTGCGTTTTACCAGGGCTTCATCACAGATTACACTGGTGGCTTTTATGGAAACAAGCAATCGCCGGTGCACACGAAAGGAGCACTTAAGGACGCCGTCACCGAAGCCTATTTCGGTCAAGAACATCCCTTTGATCCCAGCCCGTTGTTTGGTATGGTTGGTCACGTCGATAGCGACATAAAGGGTGATTTGTACAGCATATCAACCTGCACATCTGATTCAGTAAATTCATGTGGGCTCTTTGTTCAACCACTAACATTAAATATCTACCGCATATTTTCATCCAAGCATAAAAGCAATTACTTGTCGTGGATCGTCTACTTGACGGAGACGTTTTACGACTTGCTTAAGAAATTGTTCGATGAATGCGATGCTAAATGCGGTGCGAAGGGATCCAATTGCCACAACAAGTGCTGTGTTAAGAAGTGTCCAGTGTCCTCTAAAACATCAACGCCATGTAACCATGATTCAGAATGCCGCTCGATTGTTAAATGCCAAAACACACTTCCGACACTGTATAGACATGGTTTCACATATGGCAACGCAGAAAGCCTAAATGGTGAATATGGCGCAGGAAAGAAACGCACATGTAAGGATTTCTGCAAGGCGCTGAAAAACGTTCTCAATGAAGATAAAAACGTTGAAGCTCCACTTGCCAAATTAATATACGTCACCATACCAGATTTCCTCTGGAAAATAAGGGAACCATTCTCCCTAACATTGTTAGCCCTCTGGTCGCTGTCGCTCCTGTACCTGCTGCACATCGCCGTCGTCCGCCTCGACGTCCTGAGGATACGCTCCCACCTGAGATCGCCGTCAAGCCACCGCATCGCCGCGCAGTCCCTCCTCGCCGCCGCACGCGTCAAGGCACTCGCCAACGTCAAGTACTTCTCACCGTAATCGTGCCTTCACGTGTGATCTGTGTATCACCCACTCAACCACTCAACCACTCAACCACCAACTCACCCACTCACCCACCCACTCACTCACCCACTCACTCACCTACTCACCCCTCACCCACTCAACCACCCACCCACTCACTCACCACTCTTACTCATACTCAACCACTCACTCACTCCCATCACTCACCCACTCAACACTCAACCACTCAACACTCAAACCACTCACCCACTCAACCACTCACCACTCTCACCCACCACTCACCACTCACGCCATACTCTACTCACACTTACTCACTTAACTCACCACCCACTCACCTACTCACTCACTCAACACTCAATTCACCAGCACACTTTTTTTTTCATTGCTTCGCTCCCTCCCTCCTCCTTCATCACCTCCTCCGTCGGCGTCCTTCACCCAAAACCTCATTTCCCACCTTCCCCCTCCACCTCCTAAATCCCCTTACCTCATCCCATCTTCCTCCTTCATCACCCTCTCTCGCCCCTTCACCTCCCTCGCCCTGTCCACCCACCTCCCTCGCTCCCTCACTGCCTCCTTCACCTAAAATCGCCTTTCCCCAAATTCCCCCAAATCGCCCTAAAAATGTGCCTAAAATAATCCTTCAACAACATTATTAAATAACCTCTGCACAGGCCTCGAAAAATTTCTCGGCTACGAGAATGGTAATTACACCGGAGAGGGAATTGTCTACTCGGACCTCGACAGGCTATGCGACGGGGTGATGGCGTTCTTGCGCGGGGTGCTTAGTGGAGTGAGGGATGATGATAACGTTACAACTTATGATAATGATACACTTAAAATTACTTCAGTTATTAACACTCTTAACACTAGTGTAGGTAAAGGCCGTCAGGCCTTCGGTGTCGCCGTGCATAAGGTAAGTGAGTGGTTGAAAAATCATGGTGAGCAGGTGGAGGGGAGGACTCAAGATGTACTCGGCGAATTAGGTAAGTTAACAACCTTAATAAGTGCACAGATACAGTACCTGAAGCCGGAGTCTATTAGCAGTCTATCCACAATACAGACCATTTTCGGCCAGGACGTTGGAGAGGTGATGAGCCGTATGAAAACGCTGAAGGAAACTGAAGAAGGCTTCAAAGGGCTCGATGATTCATTAAAAGAGAAATTGAACGTCCCATTAGGAAAAATAGAAACGGCGGTGGAGTTGTTGAAAAAATCGTCCGATAATCTTGATTTGACTGGTCAGGTTAGGGATGTAGATTTTCAGATAAAGAGCAAAAAAGAAGAAGTGTTGAATACAATTAAGGATAAATCTGACGCACTTGAAAGGACCACGCAAGGCAAATTAAGTGAGATGGAACGTCGTGTAAGTGCTATTGGAGATTTGCGTGAGGAGAAGTTGGAGGCTTTGAAGAAATCTGTGGAGTCATTGGTGGCTTCAGTGGGACGAGCAGACGGAGCTGCAAATACATTGGTGGATGCGTATAGGAGTCAAATTGTCAATGAATTAGGCAAAATTAATGGACAGGTTAAGGCGCTTAATACTAGTGAAGTTTCTGATGATCTAAATAAGGTCTACGAAAGCATTAACAGGCAGTTGCAGGTGCTTAGTCAGCAGTTGGAGCAGCTTGGTAGTTCTGGTGAAGAAGTTACGAGAGGTGTGGAGGGCGGTATAACCCAAATTAAGAATGCATTGAGTGAGGAAATCACTCAGCTTAAGGGGCAGGTAAGGAGTCAAATCAGCGAATGCTTTACGGAGTACGTAAAATTGGTCAAGCAGTCGATTGCAGGGATTACAAGTGCAATGAATGATGTTAAAGCGACAAGTGTCGTCCAGCATGACTCTCCGCTATACACTAAAGCCAACTCAGTCAAAGAAAACCTGGATAAACTGGACGAGCAACTTAAAATAGGCGCAGGTAAAATTGGCAACGCAATTCATCAGGATATTCGAGACGTTGACGACGCAAAGGAATTGTTGCCGAGTCAGGTGAAATTAGATTTGGACAACGTTAGAGACAAGGTAAGGAATAAAGTTTTCAGCGCCATTCAAGGCCTGCAAAATAGTGGTATCGGCCATGTTAATGGGGTCAACTCCAGGCTACATGGGAATTGCACGGGTTTAAGCAGGCTATTAAATTAGCACAAGCTGAGGCTTATCAGGCTGTCTCATCGGCAATTGATAAAATAAAAACTTCCGACTTCGACAATGTATTCCGAAAATTAAATGAGCAAATAAAATCGCGGTCAAACGCTGACCCCAATTCCCTCCAAGCCAAAATAGGCAAGATAGAAAAGGACCTTGCACCGTACTTCACCAATGGCGTAAAATCGAGTGATTCAGAATTCCACCTCGGACAATTCGGCGATTATGGAAAGAAAAGATCGGAAGCACAACAACACATCGAACAAGTGCTTAAGCAAATCATAACGCTGGAAGGAGTGCAATCTGAAATTACAAAGCTCGACCAAAAGCTCGGAGCGGCGCTTAAAGGCTCTTCTGCGGATCTCAGTGAGGTCGTTGCTCTTGACGACAGCGTTGATGCTAGGGTTGAAAAGGTCACCAGCGTCGATTTCAACACTCCACTCAAACCTCTACTCAACGATGCAGCCAATAAGGGCATTAGCATGTTAAATAATAGAGTGACTGAGATTCATACCCAACTCAGCGGTATCGAACCTGAGATTAGGCCGCAAATTGACAAATTGCAGAAGAATTCTGTCCCCAACTTGTCAGGCGATATTCAAAAGCAAATTGCGGAGCTTCAAGAGAAGATTACAAGACTCCAACTGCTCGTCACCTCTACAAAAGGAAGTGCTGACGGCGAAATAAGGACACAAGTTATAGGATTGAGAGATCAAGTTGCAGGACTAAAGGATAGCATCGGAAATATTAATACAAATATACAAGCCTTCAATAAGTCCCTTCAATCGGCAATCGAAGAAGCAAAATCAACTGTCCAAAAAGCCAAAGCAGCGTTGACGGAACAAATCAACCAAGTAAAACAACAACTGACCGAAACCGCTACAAAAGCCTTTGACAAAGTGACTGAAGAAGTGAAGAAAATGTTCACCATGCAGCACGAAGAGGAATTAAAGGCGTTGAAAAAATTAGTGGACAAACAATTTCCCATCATAAATGAGCTTATAGAAGCTGATAAAACCAACGGCATCAAGGGTCTGTTAAACAAAATGAAAGGGGAACAGTCTGCTGCACGTACACTGCTCGATGAAATCAAAGATCTCGTACCAACTCCACTTCCGAAAGCCGCGCAAACTAATGAAAAGTTTTCTGAACTCTCGCAGAAATTCCAAGAATACTCCACATCAATCTTCGACTACATCACCACGCAAGTCAGACCTAAATCACATAAGGCCTCCGACACTGAGGTGAAAAATGTGGAGAAAATCAAAGAAGCATTAAACACTCTACTTAAATATCTTATAGACAGCACTAGTAGAAAATTATATTTTGACCACACTTCTCAAACTCATTTAGATACACTCAACACGCTGGTCACCGGCCTGGCGCCAACTCTATTCGCCGGCTACAGCCACCCGGAACTACTGGACGCTTTGAAAGGCGGATTGAAGGAGATGACTGAGCAACTGGAGAAGGCGTACGTGTCGAAATATTCGGGCGCAGAGCAAATTACATGGGAGGAATCAAAGGGCAAGACGGGTGAGCCTAAATTAAGTGCCGACGCCATGAGATGCGGTAAGGCGTGTCTCACACTTTTGAAAATCGTTTATGATGATCTTACCAGGTTGAAGTATGAATGCGAACGTGACTGGAAAGACCAAAGATTGTGCGAAACGAATGGCCATGGAAACAATCCACTTGGTTTGTTCCTACAGCGATGTGGCTACAAGATCGCCGAAAAGCACACTTCTAAGGACGGTGAATCTCAATGCAAAACGAGTGTAACTGGTGGAAAGATTCTCGATGAACTTCTTAAAGTAGAGATTCCGAAAGCCGCAACCAATAAGCATTTTGAAACGTGTACGGCAAAAAGCCTAACGACAATTAACGTCCCAGTCGTTCTTGGTTGCCTTTACACTCACCTCACAGAATACAATAGAGTGTGTCACATAACTATTCACCCTAGACCTAAATCTCCGTATAGTGTCAATGATATGCTTTCTTGGCTTTGTGGCGTCAGATTTAACCGTGTATATGGCAGCCTGCTTGATGCCATTAAAAGCAAATTTGATAAGCCGGAATACTACAAGAATAAGAAGCACTCTGAGATTCCCCTAACCCGATTATCAATGGATGCCGATCCATACAACGTAGCATATACAGATTTATTTAATGTCGTACAACACATTACATCCATATCCCATGACCTGCTCACCACTATCCTAGGCCACGGCGATGAACACACTACTTACGCTTTCGACTTTTTTACTAATTCACTGAAGCTAAGATATCCTGCTTCAGGTGATGACTGCCTCGACATGTTGCTCGACATTCTTCGTAGAATGTTCCCTCCATTGAAATTTTTGCAGAGCCAATGTAAGCTGAGTCCTAAGCACAGTGGTTGGGAACAATGTCTCTACGGCAAAGGTGTACCGTCACCCAATTGGCAATGCGAAAAGCATATAACGCCCGAACCTGAGTGCCAACCTACATCGCCATTAATGTCCTACTTCACTGACACTCTTCCCGGTCACTTGCCTCATCAGCTGGGTTCAGTGGGCTGCAAAGCCAAATGTACGTCGTGCTCCACCGGTTCAAGTAAGATGCCATGTTTAACGCCACTCGGCTTCAGGGCTTTCTCAGGAACCAAACGCACAGGCAAGGAGCTATGCAACGTGCTAAGCAAAATGCTAGGCAAAAATGGCATTTTCCGCGAACTTTATTCATATCTTTCATGCCTTGTTGGTGGCACGCCTAAAACGTTTGCTGACGTGTTTTCGTTTTATTATCAACTTACAAATAAGTGGAAGACAATGTCGTCGATTGGCCAACCATCAGATCCTATGCAAAATGCCATTTGTAAAGAAATACAAAATACTGTGTCCTGTGAATATACTGATGCCGTGGCACTTCTCGATCCGTGTTGCAATCTGTATAAGCGCTCGTCTCATGATCAACATGATCCTGATGACAACGAGCGTGATCTCAAATACCTACTTGGTTGTAATGACCAAAATTGCGGCAGTTTCATACAACCACTCAACTCTACTGCTTACACCACGTTATCACCAAAACACGCAGGTAAATATCTTATATGGTTGGTCCACGTTTGTCCACAAATTCAGACATTTCTCGAGCAAATTAAGAAAGCATTCTGTGGCATATCATGTTATGACTCGGGTTGCGGAGGATGCCTTAACAGTAATGACTGCCGAGTGGGTAAGCACGGCAGCAATCCCTGTGGTTGCGGCTCAATTACAAAGTGTCGAGGCGTTTTGCCTCTTCTTTATGAGTACGGGTTCACGTATAGTGAAGATGCCTACAGGCGCACGAAGAAGTGTAACAATTTCTGTAAAGCCCTTGATGATATATTAAATTCCAAATTACTGGGAGACTTCCTCACCGCAATCGATGATTTCTTCTTAGCAGTAAGAAAGAAATTCATATGGACTCTCGTAGCCCTCTGGTCGCTGTCGCTCCTGTACCTCCTGCACATCGCCGTCGTCCGCCTCGACGTCCTGAGGATACGCTCCCACCTGCGCTCGCCCTCAAGCCACCGCATCGCCGCGCAGTCGCTCCTCGCCGCCGCACGCGTCAAGGCACTCGCCAACGTCAAGTACTTCTCACCATAATCGTGCCTTCACGTGTGATCTGTGTATCACTCACTCACTCACACACTCACCCACTCAACCACTCAACCACTCAACCACCCACTCAACCACTCAACCACCCACTCAATCACCCACCCACTCACTCACACACTCAACCACCCACCCACTCAACCACTCAACCACTCACACACCTAATCACCCACTCACCTCTCTTTCACTGGTCGCTTCGCTCCCTCCTCCCTCGTCCCCCTTCCATCACCTCCTCCGTCGGCGTCCTTCGCCCAAATCCTCATTTTCCACTATCCTCCCTCCACCCCCTTCATCGCCTCTCTCAACCCATCTTCCCCCCTCATCGCCCTCTTTCGCCCCTTCACCTCCCTCACCCTGTCCACCCACCTCCCTCACTCCCTCGCTCCCTCCTTGACCTAAAATCGCCTTTCCCCAAATTTCTCCAAATCGCCCTGAAAATGTGCCTAAAATAATCCTTCAACAACATTATTAAATAACCTCTGCACAGGCCTCGAAAAATTTCTCGGCTACAGTAACGGGAATTACACCGGAGAAGGGATTGTCTACTCGGACCTCGACAGGCTATGCGACGGGGTGATGGCTTTCCTTCATGGTGTTCTCAGTGGAGTGAAAGATGACAAAAATGTTTCACATTACGTAAATAACATAGAACCTAAGCTTAATGATGTTATCGATACATTACATAAACATGTTGGCAGGGGTCGTGAGCATTTTGATGCCGCGAGCCGTGAAGTGTATGCATGGTTACATTACTATGATGAGCACATTAAGAACAGAACAAATTACATTACGTCACGTTTAGAGTCACTTAGCACAGATTTAGATGGCACTCATAAAAAATCTGTGGAGCAGAATATAGGTCAGCCACTTGCTAAGCAGTTGACGACCTGGAACGAGACGGTTGGTAACATATCGACCGCTGTTGGCAACATACATAAAGAAGTTGATAACCTCGACCCTGCACTAAAACTAAAAATACGTCACGAAATAGAACCCATAAAAACAGTAGTTAGCCACTTGAAAAAAGTTGGTGCGACTCAGGAATTCGTTAGCCAAGTCGCGGCAGTGGACACTGAGTTGGATAAGCAGCAGAAGAATTTGGAGAAGGCGATAAATGAACAAATTGATAAGGTGCACACGGAGTTGGAAAATAGAACCCGTAAGATTATTAGCAGTATCGAGGCTTTGTATGCGAAGGGAGATGAGCAGTTCAAGGCTGTAAGGAACGCTGTGCAAGATGCAAAAACGAACGTCGATAGATATTACAAGGGTTTTGAGACGGAATTTATGGCACCGATTTTGGCGTGCTTTGATGATATTAAAACCCAATTAATGCCGGTTGATCCTACGAGTGAGGGGACCGGTGCCTCACATAATAATTCCAAGCTGAAGCAGCAAGCTGACCTAATTAAGACAAAACTCTTGGCAGTTGCAGACCAGTTAGGGGGGTATGTCTATGAATTGGGAACGTGGATGAGTAAAAATGAAAAATTCATTGAAACAGCGCAGAAAGACGCTGTTAAAATTATTAGAAAGGACGCCGGTTGGCAGAATCAAATAAAACTAGACGCGATGTCGGAAGAAATGAAAAAATTGAAGGGCGATCTGGAAAAGTATATTACGAATGATATTAAGGGGGAGCTTGAAAAGTTAGTCCATCAGGCTGAGACGGCGTTTGGGACATTGAAAATGAACGCAGTTAGAAAAGAGCCTGGCGGATCAGGCGATCCTAGTGTTGATTATAATTGGGAGAAGCTTACGAAGAAGATTAAGAGTCTTGTTGAGGCAATTAACGGTGAACATACGAATAAACCAGATTATGAAGGATTGAAGGGGATTCAAGAAAAAGTGAAGGAGTGGGCCGAGAATTTCAAAAAGGAGGGGGACGACGATAATGGTTTTAAGGGTATAGTAAGGAGGTGGTTGGAGGATCTTCTGTATAGTGAACCGGTAATGGCATCGCTAGGGGATTATGCGGCAAATAAGAAGGATGCTGAGCTGGAAGACATCTTCGATGACGCTGAGACAGGTATTTCTGGACTGGCAAAGGCGATTGTTGGAAAGCTTACCACCGAGATTGGTGCAGCTGTTGTGGCTGCCCAAGAGAATCCCGGAACAACGATTCAAGAGAATATCGCCGCTGTGCAGGATGCTTGCGATACATTTGCCGATGCGCTCGTGAAAAGGATTACGAATGAAGACAAAAACATTTTGCAAGGTACTAAGTATGCTTTTTTCGGTGTCATAGCCACAGCGATGGATACCGCAATTAAGAAATCGGCAGATGCCGCCGTTACTAGGGACAAATATAAGCTCACGCCCACCATTGATATTATCCTCCACCAACTAGTAGTTGTGGCCAGGCGGGCTGGAGAGGCAGTGGAGTCTCTCACCGGTGATGGCGGTTACAACCTGGGAAGGAGCATAGAGGAGGCTATCAGTCATGTAGGACTTATCGACGAGCAGTTTAAAGAGAAAACAGAAAATCTCGAAGCAGCTCATTTTGGCCCGAAAATCACAAAGGCACTAGTGACTGTTCGAGAACAAGTTGAGACACTAACCCCAATATTAAATACAAAAAATGGTTCACTCAAGTCAAAAGTCAAGGAAATAAACCTAGATGCGACAACAAAAAACCTTGATAAATGGTCGAATGATTTAACCCATCATCTTAGAGAGATCACATCAGCGTTTGCGAGAACGGGACGAAACATTAATGCGTATTTGAACGGCTTAAACACTGAACAGATAAATGTTCAACTTCGCAAAATCAAAAATGATATTGAAAAACTGAAAATAGAGCAGATTACTACAGATCATTGTGAAATCCAAACAGCCATCAAATCCGTCATCGCTATAATTGGAGGACTTGAGAACGTACCAGCGGACGTGAAGAAAAAGAAGGGAGAAGTGGATGACCTCTTGAAACAAATTAAGGAATACTTCCGCAGGCTACAACTAAATATTGAATATATTGGTGGAAAAGTCGATGTAGCAGAACGGGCGTTGATAAATGCTATTAATGAAGTTGACAAGGTTGTTCGCGCGGCCTACGGACAAATCAAGCACGCAGTTGATACACTAAAAGGCAACCTCCTAGCTGCCGTCCAATCCGCATTTGCCCAAGTCATTGTGGCGGTAAAGAAACTATATGTAACGGAACGACTGGCTGACCTGAAAGCTCTAGGAACGGTGGTGTATAGACAGATAAGAGAAGTGGAATGGATTATCCAAAACGACAAAGTAACCGGTGTAAAAGGATTTTTGAATACATTAAATAAGCATTTTGCTTACCCACTTAATAAGTTTTTAACGCCTCCTCAACCTCCAAAAGCACCTAGTGGCAACCAAGGGCAGTCTCACAAAAAAACTTTTGTCGACCTGGCGAAGAAGCTGCATGAATACTTCGCAAAATTCTTCACAAACTTAGAGGGGCAGACAGATTTTACGCCTGATTTCAAAATAGTTGCGCCATCCAAGGAAGCGCTGGCCGAACTTCTCACTGGTCTTGCCAAGTCACAACATTTCGACCATGAATTTAGTAACCATTTAGATGAACTGGAAAATGTTATTACAGCCTTAAAGCCGTCGGAATTCGGCGATGCAGAAAGCCCGAGCTTGCTAAATGCTCTGAGACAGGGCTTCCTGCCTCTGGTCACCCAGCTTGACAAGGCCTACGTCAATAAATACTCCGGGGAGTACTGGTATACCTATGAGTCACGCAAGTATGCGATGGTATGTTCTACTATAATGTCCACCCTGTTCCGCGATCTGTCATATTTGAAAGGCAAATGTAACGGTAGTTGGAGATTCAAGAAAATTCATGCAGCCAATGATCTCGGTGATTTCTTCGATAAGCGTGGTTTTACAGTTTGCAAGGAAGAAAACATACAGGACGGTCAATTGCGTAATGACGAAGACCAAAAAGGCCAGGAACTTTTTTCCGGCGTAGACAGATTATTCGATGTGTACGGCACAGGACACCTTGAGAAGCTCCACGATGCACTTATAACGTACAACTGTGTGTGTCACATAACTCTTCCATCAAACCCTAAATATCCTAGCAGTGTACGTGACATGCTTTCATGGATTTGTGGCCTACCGTTTACTCAGGTTTACGGTCAAGTTAAAAAGCATTGCGCACAGCTACTTAAAAAGGAAGTCGACGAAGCCGGAAAAAGATCAGAAACCCCAGACCCTGTAATCACTGAAATTCTAGAAACCAACCTGTGCCACAACCTCTCCGAGACATGTCGACTTTCATACAATACGCTCACCAGAATTCAGGGGCATGGACACGGCGCGAAAAATGCCGACTACCCCTACGCTTGTAACTTCCGTGACAACTCTCGCGGCTTTCATTATCCCAATGATGTAGGCAGTCTGTTCGATGTGCTCCGTGAAATATGTCAACGTGTTCTCTCTCAGCTGACGTTCCTTCGTGGTCGGTGCCGTGCCGGGTCCCAGATAGGTGGATGGGCTGACTGCTCGTACGGGCAGATGATCCCAAGCTACCAGTGGGACTGCGACAAGTCAAGCGGAGAAGTAACCAGCAAACCAGAGTGCCAGGCAAAGTGCCAACCAAATTGCCAACCAACGTGCCAACCAAAATCACCATTGCAAGCACACCTAACAGACCAGCTACCTGGATTCATGCCGCACGACGTAACGTCCAAGGGAATCAAGCTTTCATGTTCAACGTGTCCTAAAACGTCCCCTGGCAAGCCTTGTATTACTCCGATGGGCTTTTGGGATTTGCCGAACTCCGCGTCCAAAATAGGCTTCGGCAAAGAAATATACCAAACGCTTCACTTGCTGTGCCAAAATGCCGGGTCACCGCTTTGTGCTTTGCTCCGATGTCTCAAGTGTCTCTGCCCAGTGGCGCCAAAGAATTTGGACGATATGTTCTCATTCTTCTGTCATGTTATGCAGGGTTGGTATAATTCGGACTATGCGTATGCGGTAGCATACAAGGGCAAAATTGATGAAGCCATTAAAAAGGCTTTCCCACTATCACTGTCGCTCCATGAAAATTACCAAGTTGTAGGTATTACAGACGCACTAAGAGATCTGTATTATTCAAAAGATGACCACAGAGGCGATGAAATTGAAAACTGTCATTACGATTTATGGAGCGTCAGCAAACACGTTCCACGAAACGATGCGCTGACGTGTTCAGCCAATACGTCCATAACTTGCGCTCCCTACCTCCAGCCACTAGGCCTTCATGCCAATCACACATACTCACCCAAGCACTCAGCCGTATGTCTCTCATGGATCGTCTACATCACCGAAACGTTCTGGTACCTACTCAAAGCATTACTCACATCATTCCAGAACATGTCATGCAAATCCTCCGGGTGCTCATCCTGCAATTGCATCACTGGAAAGCACGGCGTCAGTAAAATAAAGACAAATATGGCCAGAAAGCCGGGGTGTGATTGTAGATGCATCGTCAACTGCCAAGGCGTGTTAACGATATTTTTCCAATATGGATTCGCGTTCCGAAAACCTAAAGAATTATACGAAATCGGAACAAGAAAAACGTGTGGAGATTTTGTAACGCAGATGGAAAGAGTCCTACAATCAAAGTATTTCAAAATGTTATTTATACAAATTGAGGAATTTATGTGGGCAATACGTACACCCTTCACATATTTATTGTTAGCCCTCTGGTCGCTGTCGCTCCTGTACCTGCTGCACATCGCCGTCGTCCACCTCGACGTGCTGAGGATACGCTCCCACCTAAGATCGCCCTCAAGCCACCGCATCGCCGCACAGTCGCTACTCGCAGCCGCACGCGTCAAGGCACTCGCCAACGTCAAGTACTTCTCACCATAATCGTGCCTTCACGTGTGATCTGTGTATCACTCACCCACTCAACCACTCACTCAACCACTCACCCACCTAATCACTCACCCACTCAACCACCCACTCACCCACTCACTTACCCACTCAACCACTCAACCACCCACTCAACCACCCACTCACCCACCCACTCCCTCACTCCACCACTCAACCACTCCACTCACCGCTCTCACTCCACCACTCCTCACTCTTTCATCGCTGCTCCTCACCCCCTCCATCACCTCCTCCGTCGGCGTCCTTCACCCAAATCCTCATTTTCCACCTTTTCTCTCCACCCCCAAAATCGCCTTACCTCAACCCATCTTCCTCCCTCATCACCTCCCTCACCCTGTCCACCCACCACCCACCTCCCTCGCTGCCTCCCTGACCTAAAATCGCCTTTCCCCAAATTCCCCCAAATCGCCCCCAAAATGTGCCTAAAATAATCCTTCAACAACATTATTAAATAACCTTTGCACAGGCCTCGAAAAATTTCTCGGCTACCATGATGGTAATTACACCGGTGATGGCATCGTGTACTCGGACCTTGACAGGCTCTGCGACGGGGTGATGTCCTTTATCCTCCAATGTCTTGAGGGCGCTAAAACACTTTTACATCATTATTATCCTCAGATTATTGACACTATAAGAGAGTTAGAAGGTAAAATAGGTAAGGGCTCTGGTGTTTCAGGATTTTGCGACGCCATTGGGAGTGTGCAGCAGGGGCTGCAGGGGTATGAGGGGAAACATACCGAGCTGACGACCAATGTCCTCATGGACGTAAACACTATTAAATCACGAATAACGCACTTAGATTCACAATTTAATGACATTAGATCTAAAACACTGGTTAACCAGTTAAATGACATTAAGCCTGTGGCCGCTGACATGTCATCTACAGCCGACCTGCTTTGGAAGGACAATGATCTGTTAGATGACGGTCTGAAAAAGCAGTTAACGCCGGCTGTTGAAAAAGTCAAGCAGGCGGTTGGTGGCTTTAATAGTGTCGCAGGAGATACGGGTGTCACAACACAGGCTAGCCTAGTAGACAGGGCCATAGAGGAAAAGCGTCAGCATTTGGAAGGTCAAATTAACAAGGGTGCTCTAGAACTTGAACGTAAATTAGATGTTGAAGTTAAGAAAATTCAAAGTGAGTTGACGGCTTTAAAAGATGAAACATTAAAATCTGAAATTACGTTGCTGCGGCAGGCTTTACAGGATGCCAAGGCAGATATTGTAGATCTACTTGACAATTTCGACGGGACTCATAAACCACAAATTAGTGAGAAATTCGATCAAATTAAAAGCGCACTAAAAGATGTATTGCCAGATAAGAAAGGGAAATCACCACTTGACAAGCAGGTCGACGCACTAAAAGAAAAGGTTGGGGATACGGAAGGCGTGTATCAACATGTGCTCAGAAACATTAAGAGAGAAGTTAACTCGGCGGTAACTAGCGCCGCAGAGCATCTCACAAAGGTGGATGAGGCAGTTAAAAGGGATTTGTGGACGATTAGGCAAAATGTTGAAGAGCAATTGAATAAGTACGTGAAAGAATATCTGCGGTTAGTTACGGAGCAACTTCGGATAATTAAAGAGAAGGTGGGAAAGGACAAAAACGATAATAAAGATAGTATAGCAAAGCACTGGGAGGTGCTTACAAGTAGGATTACGACCCTTGTTAAGATGATCAACGGTAGAGATGGGGAAACTGGAAAGCCATATTACAAAGGTCTTAAAGGAATTAAGGAGAGAGTGAAGGTGTGGAGAGAGGGTTTCACCGACGCAAAAGGATTTGAGAAAATAGTGGAGAAGTGGATAAGGAGCATTTTAAAGGGGAACGAGGACGTCAAGTTTTGGATTAAGCAGTATGTTGACGATAACAAGAGAAAGAATGGCGATGGTTGTTTTAATTCGGGCATTATAGACACGAAGCATAGTCAAATTGGTGATGAAGGAATCCCGAAGATCGCAGAAGTTATTAAGGACAAGATTATACAGAAGCTGAATCGTGGTGAATTTGAGCAAACTCTATATTTGGCTGGAAGATCTGGCAATAATATTCAGGATAATCTCAACGCTGTCAGATTTGTTTGCGAAAAGTTCGCCAAGCAGGTTGGGGAGAAACTGGCGAAGAAAGCAAATGACATTAAGGATTACAAAAAGCATTTGGATGATTTAGTGTCTCAGATTGTCACTGAGATTGAAGGTGTTTGTAAAAATGGTGGCACTGCCACTGAAAATGAACATCTCGAATACGCAATCGCAATCACCCTGGTGGCGCTGCAGTCCGCCTCCAGGCACACCGCTAAAGCGCTCGGGAATTTCACTACTGCTAAAGATAAATCCAAAAGGATTACATACAATATCAGCACCAATGTGGATGCGGCTATAGCAGGTGTTGCTCTAATAAAGGATATACTTGGCGATGAGCACGGCAGCACCAACGAGCCAGGCAGTAAGATTACCAAGGCATTAAAAGATCTTGATTCACAGATTGAAAAGCTTCACGGCGATCTTCGAAAGTCCACTACATCTTCAGATCCTGCCTCCGACCCCAAGCTTATTCAGATTGAAGACAGTGTGGAAAAAAGGGTAGAAAACATTCTGAGTGACAACGTTGGGACGAATGGTTCAGAAGGTCAAGTGAAAAAAAATTTTGGTGAGGATGGTTTTATGGCAGCGTATAATGACGAGACGAAATTGAATGCAGCTGACGGTAAGCTTAGGGACAGGATCAATAAGATTAACGAACCAATCAATAAGTACTTCGAGAAAACATCATCAACTAACATTGATTTCGACGCTCTCTCAGAATATATAAAAACGCTGGAGGAGTACAACAATGCAATTCGCGATGTCAAAGCCACTGTAAGCAAGCTGGAAACTGTTCCCTCGTCTATCGAAACGATGTCTGAAGAGACCCTTCAACTTCTACAAGAACTCAGGCAAAATATAAAGAGACTTGAGACACAAATTGACGGCATCCAAGAAAACGTGAATAATGCCGAACGTAATATAGAGGAGGCCATCGTGTCTCTTCACGAATCTGTAAATAAATCTCACATAAAGATCTACGATGAGACCGAAAATTTTAGGAAATCCCTCCTCTCCGCCGTTAAATCCTCTTTCGATAGTGTCAAGAATTCCGTCCAATCCCTCTTCGCGCGGCAGAAGCAGGCCGAGCTCACGCAGCTGCAGAGCGTCGTCACGGAGCAGTTGGAGAAGATAGAAGAGATAATCAGGGAGGATAAATCAACAGGGGTGAAGGGTTTTTTGACGATATTAAGAGAGGGATGTTTGAAAATTTCCTGAGTAGGTCGCATCCTTTAAAAGATGGCATGAAACTATCAGAGTTGGCTGTACAAGCTGTAATTTGTTTTGAGGGTCTGTTTGAATATTTTGATGAAGAATTGACACCAAAGAACTCCCGACTTGTACGTACATTGCATTCTCAGTCTACAGGTCCTCATGCTGCTATGGTTGAGAACATCAGAAGTGTTCTCAACGCCTTGCTTGGTCACTTAATAAATACTAAACTTAAAACATATGACTTTGACCACACCTTTAGAGAGAAAGTACATGAGCTCACAGTGTCGGTAGGCGCCTTAAGCGCTAAAACGTTCGGCGAGGGAAGGAATCCCGAGCTGCTGAACATCTTTAAGAGTGGCATGTTGGCCTTTACCACTGAACTCGGCCACGCGTACGTGAATAAATACAGTGGTATGAAATTCCAAGATGAGTTGCTTAAAAAAAAGGACTCTGACCCATCCCCCAATCATTTAACCACCGAGGGCCGCAACTGCGCCAAGGTCTGCCTGACCATACTGGAGAGGGTGAATGAGGACTTGGCATATTTGAAAGGAAAATGTGATACTACAAATGGCCCTTGGAAACATAACAAAATATGCGAAACAGACGGAAATAAGACCAATAAACTCGGACGTTTTTTCATGAATCGTGGCTTCACCATTCCGCTCAACGACGGCGTAAAGCAAGATGGTCAGTTGAGATGTTCTGTAAACATGAAAGGTGGGCATATTTGTAAAAAGCTGCTTGAAAAGGAAATTGGTGGCGCGAAGCAAATTGATCATCTCAAAGCGTGCAATGCAACAAAGGAGAATGAAATTAAGTTTAATGTCCTCGACATTCTCACATGTCTTCGCAGTCACCTTCATCAATATTTCCGTGTTGGTCACATCTCTTCATTCGCCGCCAAAAAGTCACCATGTTCCATTTACGAGATGCTCACATGGTGTTGCGGTCTGCAGTACAACAGTGCTTACTCAAAGATGCAGCAGCATTGTAAAACGCTGCATCAGGCGCTAGAAAAGGAAGAAAAAGACAATGAGAAAATGAAAGATGTCAATGCGTATTTAAAAACTATACTGTGCAAGTTTCAGAGGAACGGTTTGCCGTATCTATCTAGCAATTCACGTAATATTCTCACTAATATCCTCGGAACCGGTGATGAACACACAGTGTACGCCTCTGACTTTAGCAATAATCACCTTAATTTGAGTTACCCCTCTTCCGGGGAAGCTTGTTTAGATACATTGCTTGACATCCTCCGCAGAGTATATCCCGTATGTAGATTCTTGCAGAGCCAATGTAGTAGTCTGTCATCCGACTTTGGTTGGGCCGGCTGCCAGTATGGTAAGCAGGTCAAACACGCTAACTGGCAGTGCGACAAGCATATTGCTGATAAGGAATCCGACTGCGTTCCCATGTCACCGCTTATGTCGTACTTTACAGACAGTCTTCCCGGTCACCTACCTCACCAGCTATCCTCCATCGGTTGTAGAGCTACATGTAACACGTGTCCCAGCGGCAAACCTGGCATGCCTTGCCTAACGCCCTTAGGTTTCAGGGGTTTCTCTGGAAGTACGCGCCTGGGCAAAGAGCTATGTAACGTGCTAACCAAAATGCTCGATGACGCCGACCTCAGATCCCTATTCTGCCTTAAACCCAAAACGCCGGGTTCGCTACCAGAGCACTTCGGTTTCGCATTATCACTTGTCAGTGGGTAGCGGGCAAATAGCAAACATCCACTTATGAAATTATTCAAGTCGTCCGTCAACGATCTCTCCATTAATCTCGTTAATGGATCCGATGTGACCAATGCGTTTCTTGATGCTTACGGTTCCGAATCTACCAAGCATACAAATTGTGAACACCCGCACCTTCTGAATCTCACAGCCAATGAAGTGTGTTACAAAGCTGATGATTTCAACAGCTCTCCCTACTTATGCAGCCTATATTTCGATTCATATGATTATCTTACCGACAAACACTGCAAGGTTTACCTCTCCTGGGCCATCTACCTGCCATGGACATTCTGGGATCTACTCAACAAATTATATGATTCCTTCTGCACTATTACTTGTGCAGACTGGGGATGCCGTGGATGTCTCAGAGGAGACAAGTGCAAGAGTGGCAAGCATGGTGTCGTCGAGGATGAGAAGAAAGATGTTACTTGCCAGTGTGAATCAATGGTCAAATGCAGAGGCGTGGCACCGACGCTCTACCAGTATGGATTCAGCTTCGGCGAGGCGTCGACGTTGAATGGTGGTAGCACAAGAAAGAAGTGTAAGGATTTCTGCACTCAATTATATAAGGTGTTACATTCTGATTATTTTGATAAGCTGTTCAAGGAGTGCGACAATTTCCTATGGAAAATCAGGGAACCTTTCATCTGGATATTGTTGTCCCTCTGGTCGCTCTCGCTCCTGTACCTGCTGCACATCGCCGTCGTCCGCCTCGACGTGCTCCGCATACGCTCCCACTTAAAATCACCCTCAAGCCACCGCATCGCCGCACAGTCCCTCCTCGCCGCCGCACGCGTCAAGGCACTCGCCAGCGTCAAGTACTTCTCACCATAATCGTGCCTTCACGTGTGATCTGTGTATCACCCACCCACTCTCTCGCCCATCGCTCCAGCCGCTCGGCCATCGACCCGCTCGCCACTCACTCCTCGCTCGCTCGCCCACTCCGCCCATCGACCGCCCATCGAGCCGCTCCATCGGCCGCGCTCACTCGCGGCCATCGCCGCCCGCCCGCTCGCTCGCCGCTCATCGCTCGGCCATCATGCCATCCCGTCGCCCGCTCGGTGCGCCCGCTCAGTCATCGCTCGCCTCATCGCTCCGCATCGCCCCATCGACCAGCTCATCGCCCATCGCCCGCTCGATAAATCGGCCATCGATATATCGACCATCGCATCGATGCGCCCATCGGTACTCATCGATAACCCATCGATGCGCCCTCGTCATCGCATCGCCCATCGACCGCTCATCGCCCATCATCGCCATCGCCCATCGATGACCGCCCGCCGTCGCCCCATCGACCGCCCGCTCGTACGCTCATCACCGGCATCGTCTCGCATCGCGCTCGTCCGGCTGCTCGTGACCATCGCTATCATCATCGGCCATCATCATCGGTGCGCCTGACGCCATCATGCTCGCCATCAGCATCAACAAGCAGGTTGAACGATATCGCATCGTCATCATCATCCCGTCATCTCAGGTCGGTCGTCAGCCTTTGGAAATCTTCAATTTCAAGGTTCTTTGACCTCTAAAACCGCCTCCACCTCAGCTCGTCTTTACCTTCGTCATCACTGTATGCCTCCCTCACCTTGTCCACCACTCCCTCCTGCCTCGCTGCCTCCTGACCCAACCTAAAATTGCCTTTCTCAAAAATTCTAAATTCTCCAAAGTGTCCCATTCCACCTCCTTTTTAATATTTATGATGCCTATCAATCTCCTCAAATGCCTCTCAAATTGACAAGCAATAAGGATCTTCAGTCTCATCAGGCATCCAAAAGTCTCTTGAGACACTGAATGAGCTTTGTGAATATGCTGATAAAATTCATAATAATCATGTTAACATCCCAGTAAAACCTTTTAAATAACCTCTGCACAGGCCTCGAAAATTTTCTCAGCTTCAGAATGGTAATTACACCGGCTCCGGCATCGTGTACTCGGACCTTGACAGGCTCTGCGACAGGGTGATGTCTTTCCTTCTTCAGTTCTTGAGAGTGTGAAAAACGATGATAACGTTACAACATGATAAAGATAATGATTTCAAAGAATCTTCTTCAATCAGTAAGTTGATGCATAAAGGTTCTCATGGTTTTCGCAGGCCATCTTACAGTCTCCGATGCGCTCAGGGCGTGGAGCGGTGAGCTCGAAGAGCGGACCGAAAGAGCTAAGAAACTCTTTAAAAACTAATTAATGTAATTGTGTTCATAAATCATTCATAACGCATAAGTCACTTGAAGGTGACTCACTTAGCGAAGCCCGAAAGCTAGAGGCCTGCTTCGGCCAGGCCGATCAGCTCCATAAGAACTTCGTGTTGGCAAAGGCGGCGTACTCTAAGCTAGACGGTACACTCAGAGAGATAGGTTGCGTGACTACGTGCGACGTGTTGAGTTGGAGGTGGTGAGATTTCACACAGCTGCCACTAATACGGGTTGCGTGAGGTGGTGTTGTGTAGCCATATAGAGAGCTTAAGAGTCTCATGAGTAGTGTGAAAGCAATTGTTGATGACCGTATAAACACTATGGAAAATGACATTCATGAAATTTTATAAACATATTCATGAGCCAATAAAACCGTTAGTAAAGAGTTGACAGAATATGTTCAAATTTTAGAAATCTGGTAAACAGGCGCAGGGTCTCTGACGGAGTCTTTACAGATGGTTGGAACATTATAAAGTTGGTTTGGTGACGAGAAGAACAAATGCCTGAAGAAATTCGGACGGCAGCCGAAAAACTTAGGAAAGATGCTGTGGCGCTGCACAAAGCGATGACTACAGCTCATGGGTATATTCAACAGCAGGTTAAGGAGACTACTAGGGCCGTCAATGAGGAGAAGCTTCAGAATGGTAATCTGATCTGCAAAAACTTAGAGACGCTATTAAAAGACAGTTGGAAGGTATGTGACTAAGTTGGGAGGGCAGATTACAGTGAGCTCAGGAAGATTACAAAACAAATTGTTGATGCCAGTGATGATTCAGGCCTCACTCAGCAAAATTATAAAGCAAGCAGGATCGTATGCGCAGAATTTCCAGCTACACATACGTCGCCCATTGAAGAATGGATTGCGGGATTTTAAAAAATCCGTTAATAGATTCATTGAGAACTATGTTTTCGGGGTCAAGGAGATAGAAAAAGATTACGAGGTAAAGTCAGTACTAGCCCAAACCGGGATGACATTGAGGCTAAGGTTATTGAAATTGTTAAGACGCAGATCAATGCTAGGCTTACAAATGTTCCAGCACAGAAGCCATCTATAAACACTGGCACCGTTGATGGAAAGTTGAAAGAGATTGCGACGTATCTGAGTACGTACGCCGTCGGAGTGCGGTTTTGAGACACTCGGAAGATGAGATCATACAGGCGATTGAGCAACAGCTCGAGAAAGTAGCAGAATGGTCGTTGGAAAAACCATCGGAGTCTAAATACCAGGCTTACCTCCGATATGCCGTTGCGACTACCCTATTTCTTCTTGCCGCAATCGCCAATCAAGCGCGCACATTAGTAAGCTTGTTGAAGGTAGTGAGCTCGGCAAAATAAATGAAGCTATAAAGGTAATTACCAATATCGGTAACAGTCTAGAAACGGCACTTATCAATGGCGCAGACCGCTAAGGACTTTAAAAGTAAACTTCAATCCTTGGCTGAGAAGTATATTGAAGAGACGTATGGTGGGAAAAGGAACTCATAAGACATGTCAACGGTTCTACGGCGTCATATAGAAAAAAAGTATTATCCGTCACAGCTCTTTTGAAGGATATGCAGGATAATGACAATGGCCTTGAAAAATTGAAAGCGTTAATGACGGGGAGGCCGGTAAGGGAGAAAACATCACCGGTTTCACTCTCAGCAAGTTGCATGCCAACGTTACTGACAGCCTCAATGATCTTATAAAACAGATCGAAAGAATTGCCGGGAAGGATCCGACGTACAAAAATGGCCTCAGTCAGAAGCTAGAAAAGCTTAAAGGCTTTATCGATAATAGCCTTTTTGGTGATCCTAATAAGTCCGTCAGAGCAATTAAAGAACGTATTGACAATCTGAACAATAGCATCGTGATCGCATTGAACACATACTCCACAAACATCTACGATGATGTAATTAAGAAATATGCCGACGATGCCACCGCTGACATCAAACAGTTCATCTCCCAAGAGGTAGACAGGACGACCACTGCAATCAGAGAAAAACCAAAACGGAATATCACTCCAAAATCAGCAAATTGTTCGCAGACATGGAATCGAAAGTAAAGGATGAAAATTCAAGAATAGAGAAGAAAATTGCGGAGGACCTACAAAGCGGAGTAAAAGGGTTACTTAAGAGAATGAAAGAAAATATTGGAATGTTGGACACTTTGAAAAACCAGCGCGAAATAAAATTGGCATCCCCTGAATTAAAGACGTATCTAGAGGAAATGCTAACATATGTTGACAATAACATTAATAACTTGTTACTTAAACGAAAACCGACGAGGCTATGCCGCAGTGCCCTGCTCAACTTTTAGGCGTGCGAACATCTTTGCGTGTGCTGCTCGACGGACTCCATGGGTCCAACCATTATGATCACAATTTTGCTGAGAACCTTGATGAATTTGAAAAATCACTTTGCAGCTTGTCACCCAAAACATTCGCGAACTCATATGCTCCATTGTTATTGGACGCAGTTAGTGACGGCGTAAAAGGCCTGGCCAAGCAACTGGGCAACGCATACGTAAGCACGTATTCTGGCAGTTCGATTGAGTGGGGGTCTAAGACTGCTTTGTTACAAAATGGTGATGCCAATTTAACTGTAGAAGCTACGAAATGTGCAACAGTTTGTATGACAGTTTTTCATACTCTATTCAACCAATTGCATCATTTGTTTTATAACAGTCTCAGGTCTTGGAGAAAGCACAAAATAAATGACGATGGAACCAAACGTGGTTTGAAAATTTACTTGCAGGGTCAAGGGTATGAAATCAAGAATTTGACCACTAAGGATTACACAGGTTGGAATATTGCTGGCAACCTACGAGACGCTTTCAGTAAGCATGGTGAATTCGACCAAGAGCCCGAATCCAGGCATGCTGATTTCTATAGCTATTTTGTGTCCATTATAAAATCCAAAGGTGTTGTATCAAAGCTTTTTGGTTGCTTGGAAAAATACAATAAAGTCGGTCACATGTCCACGTTTTCATCGAGGAAACATCCATGCAGTGTATTTGAAATGCTTGGTTGGATCAGTGGCTTGCATTATAACCCAGTGTACGATAAGCTTCTAGCGCACATTGATTCCCTGATTAAAAGCGAAACGGATGGTGAACTCCGAAATGTTCTATTTGACTTACGTGGTCTACAAATACCATCAATGTCAACGCCTATATATGATTTGTTAGTTACGATTACCGGGTACGGTGATGCCTCCACGTACTACGGCTGTGAATATTTAGGCAACAACCTCGGTCTATATTACCCCAACAGAGGGGAGGAATGCGTTGATATGCTCCTTGATATCTTCCGTAGATTGTTTACCGTGCTCAAATTTTTGCAAAAGCAGTGTCTACTCGGTCAATCAGATTTTGGTTGGTCTGACTGCCTTTACGGCAGGGACGTCTTCACTACCAAATCACAATGTAATAGTCATGCAAATAGCAAACCAAAAGACCAACCAAAGTGCCAACCTAGGTGCCAGGCAAACACCAAACCAAACTGCCGACCAACGTCTCCATTAATGAGCTATTTAAACGATAGTTTACATGGCCACTTACCTCACCAGTTAAGCAGTGTCGGTTGTAAATCCATTTGTTCTACATGCCCCAAGTCCACACCCGGAATGCCCTGTCTAACACCGTTAGGTTTCAGAGGTTTCTCAGGGTCTACCAAAACTGGAGATATTTTACGCAGGAAAATTGATGGCTTTTTCAAAAGCATCAATACTTCATCCATGTTTTGCCTTGGCCCCAAGCCACCAACCTCTCTACCTGAGCACTTCGGATTTGCGTTATCCTTAGTGGACGGTTGGAGAACCGTTAAGAAACATCCACTGAAAAGCGCAATAGAATCGCATATCTCTAAGGTATCCATTAGTCTGTACGATAAACCTTTCGTTCTTACCAGTGAGCTTGGTGATGCATATGGTTGCAATCAGATCGATCACGGGGATATTCACCCGGATAAGAAATCAGCCGACTTAGCAAGTCTATCAATGGCTACGACATGTGCTGGTGGCCAGTGTGCTCCGTACCTTCTCTCGTTATGCACAGATTCGTATACTTATCTCCTCCCGAAACATTCAAATCTATACTTGTCGTGCTGCCTATACCTTCCATGGCAACTCCTCGAGTACCTTCAGAAGCTGCTCGACGCATTCAACGATATCTTCTGCCAGGACTGGGGGTGCAACACCTGCTTGCTGGGTGACAAATGCAAAAGAGGCAAGCACGGATCAACGGATGAAAAGAGTAAGAAGCCGCATTGCCAATGCACATCCGTGGTCAACTGCCGAGGTGTGGCGCCTACATTATATCGATACGGATTCGCATTCGGAAATGCATTCACGTTGAATAACAAAGGCACGAGGAAGCGATGTTGCGATTTATACAGTCAACTATCTGCAGTTCTGAAATCCAATCGCTTCACGCAGCTGTTTGATACTATCGACAAATTTATTTTCATCATAAGAGCACCATTCATATGGACACTGTTAGCCCTCTGGTCGCTCTCGCTCCTCTACCTGCTGCACATCACCGTCGTCCGCCTCGACGTCCTGAGGATCCGCTCCCACCTGAGATCACCTTCAAGCCACCGCATCGCCGCGCAGTCCCTCCTCGCCGCCGCACGCGTCAGGGCACTCGCCAACGTCAAGTACTTCTCACCATAATCGCGCCTTCACGTGTGATCTGTGTATCACCCACTCACCCACTCACTCAACTCACCCACTCACTCACCCAACCACCCACTCACCCACTCACTCACTCACCCACTCACTCACCTCCCTCCTTCACTGGTCGCTTCGCTCCCTCCTCCATCACCCCCTCCACCCACCTCCTCCGTCGGCGTCCTTCGCCCAAACACTCTTTTTCCACTTTCCCCTCCACCTCCAAAATCCCCTCTCCTCAACCCATCTTCCTCCTTCATCGCCCTCTTTCGCCCCTTCACCTCCCTCACCCTGTCCAGCCACCTCCCTCGCTGCCTCCTTCGCCTAAAATCGCCTTTTCCCAAATTCCCCCAAATCGCCCTGAAAATGTGCCTAAAATAATCCTTCAACAACATTATTAAATAACCTTTGCACAGGCCTCGAAAAATTTCTCGGCTACCATGATGGTAATTACACCGGTGATGGCATCGTGTACTCGGACCTTGACAGGCTCTGCGACGGGGTGATGTCCTTTATCCTCCAATGTCTTGAGGGCGCTAAAACACTTTTACATCATTATTATCCTCAGATTATTGACACTATAAGAGAGTTAGAAGGTAAAATAGGTAAGGGCTCTGGTGTTTCAGGATTTTGCGACGCCATTGGGAGTGTGCAGCAGGGGCTGCAGGGGTATGAGGGGAAACATACCGAGCTGACGACCAATGTCCTCATGGACGTAAACACTATTAAATCACGAATAACGCACTTAGATTCACAATTTAATGACATTAGATCTAAAACACTGGTTAACCAGTTAAATGACATTAAGCCTGTGGCCGCTGACATGTCATCTACAGCCGACCTGCTTTGGAAGGACAATGATCTGTTAGATGACGGTCTGAAAAAGCAGTTAACGCCGGCTGTTGAAAAAGTCAAGCAGGCGGTTGGTGGCTTTAATAGTGTCGCAGGAGATACGGGTGTCACAACACAGGCTAGCCTAGTAGACAGGGCCATAGAGGAAAAGCGTCAGCATTTGGAAGGTCAAATTAACAAGGGTGCTCTAGAACTTGAACGTAAATTAGATGTTGAAGTTAAGAAAATTCAAAGTGAGTTGACGGCTTTAAAAGATGAAACATTAAAATCTGAAATTACGTTGCTGCGGCAGGCTTTACAGGATGCCAAGGCAGATATTGTAGATCTACTTGACAATTTCGACGGGACTCATAAACCACAAATTAGTGAGAAATTCGATCAAATTAAAAGCGCACTAAAAGATGTATTGCCAGATAAGAAAGGGAAATCACCACTTGACAAGCAGGTCGACGCACTAAAAGAAAAGGTTGGGGATACGGAAGGCGTGTATCAACATGTGCTCAGAAACATTAAGAGAGAAGTTAACTCGGCGGTAACTAGCGCCGCAGAGCATCTCACAAAGGTGGATGAGGCAGTTAAAAGGGATTTGTGGACGATTAGGCAAAATGTTGAAGAGCAATTGAATAAGTACGTGAAAGAATATCTGCGGTTAGTTACGGAGCAACTTCGGATAATTAAAGAGAAGGTGGGAAAGGACAAAAACGATAATAAAGATAGTATAGCAAAGCACTGGGAGGTGCTTACAAGTAGGATTACGACCCTTGTTAAGATGATCAACGGTAGAGATGGGGAAACTGGAAAGCCATATTACAAAGGTCTTAAAGGAATTAAGGAGAGAGTGAAGGTGTGGAGAGAGGGTTTCACCGACGCAAAAGGATTTGAGAAAATAGTGGAGAAGTGGATAAGGAGCATTTTAAAGGGGAACGAGGACGTCAAGTTTTGGATTAAGCAGTATGTTGACGATAACAAGAGAAAGAATGGCGATGGTTGTTTTAATTCGGGCATTATAGACACGAAGCATAGTCAAATTGGTGATGAAGGAATCCGAAGATCGCAGAAGTTATTAAGGACAAGATTATACAGAAGCTGAATCGTGGTGAATTTGAGCAAACTCTATATTTGGCTGGAAGATCTGGCAATAATATTCAGGATAATCTCAACGCTGTCAGATTTGTTTGCGAAAAGTTCGCCAAGCAGGTTGGGGAGAAACTGGCGAAGAAAGCAAATGACATTAAGGATTACAAAAAGCATTTGGATGATTTAGTGTCTCAGATTGTCACTGAGATTGAAGGTGTTTGTAAAAATGGTGGCACTGCCACTGAAAATGAACATCTCGAATACGCAATCGCAATCACCCTGGTGGCGCTGCAGTCCGCCTCCAGGCACACCGCTAAAGCGCTCGGGAATTTCACTACTGCTAAAGATAAATCCAAAAGGATTACATACAATATCAGCACCAATGTGGATGCGGCTATAGCAGGTGTTGCTCTAATAAAGGATATACTTGGCGATGAGCACGGCAGCACCAACGAGCCAGGCAGTAAGATTACCAAGGCATTAAAAGATCTTGATTCACAGATTGAAAAGCTTCACGGCGATCTTCGAAAGTCCACTACATCTTCAGATCCTGCCTCCGACCCCAAGCTTATTCAGATTGAAGACAGTGTGGAAAAAAGGGTAGAAAACATTCTGAGTGACAACGTTGGGACGAATGGTTCAGAAGGTCAAGTGAAAAAAAATTTTGGTGAGGATGGTTTTATGGCAGCGTATAATGACGAGACGAAATTGAATGCAGCTGACGGTAAGCTTAGGGACAGGATCAATAAGATTAACGAACCAATCAATAAGTACTTCGAGAAAACATCATCAACTAACATTGATTTCGACGCTCTCTCAGAATATATAAAAACGCTGGAGGAGTACAACAATGCAATTCGCGATGTCAAAGCCACTGTAAGCAAGCTGGAAACTGTTCCCTCGTCTATCGAAACGATGTCTGAAGAGACCCTTCAACTTCTACAAGAACTCAGGCAAAATATAAAGAGACTTGAGACACAAATTGACGGCATCCAAGAAAACGTGAATAATGCCGAACGTAATATAGAGGAGGCCATCGTGTCTCTTCACGAATCTGTAAATAAATCTCACATAAAGATCTACGATGAGACCGAAAATTTTAGGAAATCCCTCCTCTCCGCCGTTAAATCCTCTTTCGATAGTGTCAAGAATTCCGTCCAATCCCTCTTCGCGCGGCAGAAGCAGGCCGAGCTCACGCAGCTGCAGAGCGTCGTCACGGAGCAGTTGGAGAAGATAGAAGAGATAATCAGGGAGGATAAATCAACAGGGGTGAAGGGTTTTTTGACGATATTAAGAGAGGGGATGTTTGAAAATTTCCTGAGTAGGTCGCATCCTTTAAAAGATGGCATGAAACTATCAGAGTTGGCTGTACAAGCTGTAATTTGTTTTGAGGGTCTGTTTGAATATTTTGATGAAGAATTGACACCAAAGAACTCCCGACTTGTACGTACATTGCATTCTCAGTCTACAGGTCCTCATGCTGCTATGGTTGAGAACATCAGAAGTGTTCTCAACGCCTTGCTTGGTCACTTAATAAATACTAAACTTAAAACATATGACTTTGACCACACCTTTAGAGAGAAAGTACATGAGCTCACAGTGTCGGTAGGCGCCTTAAGCGCTAAAACGTTCGGCGAGGGAAGGAATCCCGAGCTGCTGAACATCTTTAAGAGTGGCATGTTGGCCTTTACCACTGAACTCGGCCACGCGTACGTGAATAAATACAGTGGTATGAAATTCCAAGATGAGTTGCTTAAAAAAAAGGACTCTGACCCATCCCCCAATCATTTAACCACCGAGGGCCGCAACTGCGCCAAGGTCTGCCTGACCATACTGGAGAGGGTGAATGAGGACTTGGCATATTTGAAAGGAAAATGTGATACTACAAATGGCCCTTGGAAACATAACAAAATATGCGAAACAGACGGAAATAAGACCAATAAACTCGGACGTTTTTTCATGAATCGTGGCTTCACCATTCCGCTCAACGACGGCGTAAAGCAAGATGGTCAGTTGAGATGTTCTGTAAACATGAAAGGTGGGCATATTTGTAAAAAGCTGCTTGAAAAGGAAATTGGTGGCGCGAAGCAAATTGATCATCTCAAAGCGTGCAATGCAACAAAGGAGAATGAAATTAAGTTTAATGTCCTCGACATTCTCACATGTCTTCGCAGTCACCTTCATCAATATTTCCGTGTTGGTCACATCTCTTCATTCGCCAAAAAGTCACCATGTTCCATTTACGAGATGCTCACATGGTGTTGCGGTCTGCAGTACAACAGTGCTTACTCAAAGATGCAGCAGCATTGTAAAACGCTGCATCAGGCGCTAGAAAAGGAAGAAAAGACAATGAGAAAATGAAAGATGTCAATGCGTATTTAAAAACTATACTGTGCAAGTTTCAGAGGAACGGTTTGCCGTATCTATCTAGCAATTCACGTAATATTCTCACTAATATCCTCGGAACCGGTGATGAACACACAGTGTACGCCTCTGACTTTAGCAATAATCACCTTAATTTGAGTTACCCCTCTTCCGGGGAAGCTTGTTTAGATACATTGCTTGACATCCTCCGCAGAGTATATCCCGTATGTAGATTCTTGCAGAGCCAATGTAGTAGTCTGTCATCCGACTTTGGTTGGGCCGGCTGCCAGTATGGTAAGCAGGTCAAACACGCTAACTGGCAGTGCGACAAGCATATTGCTGATAAGGAATCCGACTGCGTTCCCATGTCACCGCTTATGTCGTACTTTACAGACAGTCTTCCCGGTCACCTACCTCACCAGCTATCCTCCATCGGTTGTAGAGCTACATGTAACACGTGTCCCAGCGGCAAACCTGGCATGCCTTGCCTAACGCCCTTAGGTTTCAGGGGTTTCTCTGGAAGTACGCGCCTGGGCAAAGAGCTATGTAACGTGCTAACCAAAATGCTCGATGACGCCGACCTCAGATCCCTATTCTGCCTTAAACCCAAAACGCCGGGTTCGCTACCAGAGCACTTCGGTTTCGCATTATCACTTGTCAGTGCCTCGCTGCCTCCTTGACCTAAAATTGCCTTTCTCAAAAAATTCTAAAATTCTCCAAAAGTGTCCCATTCCACCTCCTTTTTAATATTTATGATGCCTATCAATCTCCTCAAAATGCCTCTCAAATTGACAAGCTTAATAAGGATCTTCAGTCTCATCAGGCATCCAAGAAGTCTCTTGAGACACTGAATGAGCTTTGTGAATATGCTGATAAAATTCATAATAATCATGTTAACGAAAATCCCAGTAAAAACCTTTTAAATAACCTCTGCACAGGCCTCGAAAATTTTCTCGGCTTCCAGAATGGTAATTACACCGGCTCCGGCATCGTGTACTCGGACCTTGACAGGCTCTGCGACGGGGTGATGTCTTTCCTTCATGGAGTTCTTGAGAGTGTGAAAAACGATGATAACGTTACAACTTATGATAAAGATAATGATTTCAAGAATCTTCCTTCTTCAATCAGTAAGTTGATGCATAAAGGTTCTCATGGTTTTTCGCAGGCCATCGCACAGGTCTCCGATGCGCTCGGGGCGTGGAGCGGTGAGCTCGAAGAGCGGACCGAAAGAGCTAAGAAACTCTTTAAAAACTTAATTAATGATAATTGTGTTCACATAAATCATTCACTTAACGCACTTAAGTCACTTGAAGGTGACTCACTTAGCGAGGTGCCCGAAAAGCTAGAGGCCTGCTTCGGCCAGGCCGATCAGCTCCATAAGAGCTTCGTGTTGGCAAAGGCGGCGTACTCTAAGCTAGACGGTACACTCAGAGATAGGTTGCGTGACTACGTGCGACGTGTTGAGTTGGAGGTGGTGAGATTTCACGCAGCTGCCACTAATACGGAGTTGCGTGAGGTGGTGTTGTGTAGCCATAGAGAGCTTAAGAGTCTCGCGAGTAGTGTGAAAGCAATTGTTGATGACCGTATAAACACTATGGAAAATGACATTCATGAGAAATTTTATAAACATATTCATGAGCCAATAAAAACCGTTAGTAAAGAGTTGACAGAATATGTTCAAATTTTAGAAATCTGGGTAGAGCAGGCGCAGGGTCTCCTGACGGAGTCTTTACAGATGGTTGGAGACATTATAAAGTTGGTTGGTGACGAGAAGGGCAAATGCCCTGAGAAAATTCGGACGGCGGCCGAAAAACTTAGGAAAGATGCTGTGGCGCTGCACAAAGCGATGACTACAGCTCATGGGTATATTCAACAGCAGGTTAAGGAGACTACTAGGGCCGTCAATGAGGAGCTTCAGAATGCGGTAATCACAGATCTGCAAAAACTTAGAGACGCTATTAAAAAGACGGTTGGAAGGTATGTGACTAAGTTGGGAGGGCAGATTACGAGTGAGCTCGGGAAGATTACAAAACAAATTGTTGATGCCAGTGATGATTCGGCCTCACTCGGCAAAATTGTAAAGCAAGCAGGATCGTATGCGCAGAATTTCCCGGCTACACATACGTCGCCCATTGAAGAATGGATTGCCGGGATTTTAAAAAAAGATCCCGTTAATAGATTCATTGAGAACTATGTTTTCGGGGTCAAGGAGATAGAAAAAAGATTACGAGGTAAAGTCAGTACTAGCCCAAACCGGGATGACATTGAGGCTAAGGTTATTGAAATTGTTAAGACGCAGATCAATGCTAGGCTTACAAATGTTCCAGCACAGAAGCCATCTATAAACACTGGCACCGTTGATGGAAAGTTGAAAGAGATTGCGACGTATCTGAGTACGTACGCCGTCGGAGTGCGGGTTTTGAGACACTCGGAAGATGAGATCATACAGGCGATTGAGCAACAGCTCGAGAAAGTAGCAGAATGGTCGTTGGAAAAACCATCGGAGTCTAAATACCAGGCTTACCTCCGATATGCCGTTGCGACTACCCTATTTCTTCTTGCCGCAATCGCCAATCAAGCCGGCGCGCACATTAGTAAGCTTGTTGAAGGTAGTGAGCTCGGCAAAATAAATGAAGCTATAAAGGTAATTACCAATATCGGTAACAGTCTAGAAACGGCACTTATCAATGGCGCAGACCCCGCCGCTAAGGACTTTAAAAGTAAACTTCAATCCTTGGCTGAGAAGTATATTGAAGAGACGTATGGTGGGGAAAAGGAACTCATAAGACATGTCAACGGTTCTACGGCGTCATATAGAAAAAAAGTATTATCCGTCACAGCTCTTTTGAAGGATATGCAGGATAATGACAATGGCCTTGAAAAATTGAAAGCGTTAATGACGGGGAGGCCGGTAAGGGAGAAAACATCACCGGTTTCACTCTCAGCAAGTTGCATGCCAACGTTACTGACAGCCTCAATGATCTTATAAAACAGATCGAAAGAATTGCCGGGAAGGATCCGACGTACAAAAATGGCCTCAGTCAGAAGCTAGAAAAGCTTAAAGGCTTTATCGATAATAGCCTTTTTGGTGATCCTAATAAGTCCGTCAGAGCAATTAAAGAACGTATTGACAATCTGAACAATAGCATCGTGATCGCATTGAACACATACTCCACAAACATCTACGATGATGTAATTAAGAAATATGCCGACGATGCCACCGCTGACATCAAACAGTTCATCTCCCAAGAGGTAGACAGGACGACCACTGCAATCAGAGAAAAAACCAAAACGGAATATCACTCCAAAATCAGCAAATTGTTCGCAGACATGGAATCGAAAGTAAAGGATGAAAATTCAAGAATAGAGAAGAAAATTGCGGAGGACCTACAAAGCGGAGTAAAAGGGTTACTTAAGAGAATGAAAGAAAATATTGGAATGTTGGACACTTTGAAAAACCAGCGCGAAATAAAATTGGCATCCCCTGAATTAAAGACGTATCTAGAGGAAATGCTAACATATGTTGACAATAACATTAATAACTTGTTACTTAAACGAAAACCCGACGAGGCTATGCCGCAGTGCCCTGCTCAACTTTTAGGCGTGCGAACATCTTTGCGTGTGCTGCTCGACGGACTCCATGGGTCCAACCATTATGATCACAATTTTGCTGAGAACCTTGATGAATTTGAAAAATCACTTTGCAGCTTGTCACCCAAAACATTCGCGAACTCATATGCTCCATTGTTATTGGACGCAGTTAGTGACGGCGTAAAAGGCCTGGCCAAGCAACTGGGCAACGCATACGTAAGCACGTATTCTGGCAGTTCGATTGAGTGGGGGTCTAAGACTGCTTTGTTACAAAATGGTGATGCCAATTTAACTGTAGAAGCTACGAAATGTGCAACAGTTTGTATGACAGTTTTTCATACTCTATTCAACCAATTGCATCATTTGTTTTATAACAGTCTCAGGTCTTGGAGAAAGCACAAAATAAATGACGATGGAACCAAACGTGGTTTGAAAATTTACTTGCAGGGTCAAGGGTATGAAATCAAGAATTTGACCACTAAGGATTACACAGGTTGGAATATTGCTGGCAACCTACGAGACGCTTTCAGTAAGCATGGTGAATTCGACCAAGAGCCCGAATCCAGGCATGCTGATTTCTATAGCTATTTTGTGTCCATTATAAAATCCAAAGGTGTTGTATCAAAGCTTTTTGGTTGCTTGGAAAAATACAATAAAGTCGGTCACATGTCCACGTTTTCATCGAGGAAACATCCATGCAGTGTATTTGAAATGCTTGGTTGGATCAGTGGCTTGCATTATAACCCAGTGTACGATAAGCTTCTAGCGCACATTGATTCCCTGATTAAAAGCGAAACGGATGGTGAACTCCGAAATGTTCTATTTGACTTACGTGGTCTACAAATACCATCAATGTCAACGCCTATATATGATTTGTTAGTTACGATTACCGGGTACGGTGATGCCTCCACGTACTACGGCTGTGAATATTTAGGCAACAACCTCGGTCTATATTACCCCAACAGAGGGAGGAATGCGTTGATATGCTCCTTGATATCTTCCGTAGATTGTTTACCGTGCTCAAATTTTTGCAAAAGCAGTGTCTACTCGGTCAATCAGATTTTGGTTGGTCTGACTGCCTTTACGGCAGGGACGTCTTCACTACCAAATCACAATGTAATAGTCATGCAAATAGCAAACCAAAAGACCAACCAAAGTGCCAACCTAGGTGCCAGGCAAACACCAAACCAAACTGCCGACCAACGTCTCCATTAATGAGCTATTTAAACGATAGTTTACATGGCCACTTACCTCACCAGTTAAGCAGTGTCGGTTGTAAATCCATTTGTTCTACATGCCCCAAGTCCACACCCGGAATGCCCTGTCTAACACCGTTAGGTTTCAGAGGTTTCTCAGGGTCTACCAAAACTGGAGATATTTTACGCAGGAAAATTGATGGCTTTTTCAAAAGCATCAATACTTCATCCATGTTTTGCCTTGGCCCCAAGCCACCAACCTCTCTACCTGAGCACTTCGGATTTGCGTTATCCTTAGTGGACGGTTGGAGAACCGTTAAGAAACATCCACTGAAAAGCGCAATAGAATCGCATATCTCTAAGGTATCCATTAGTCTGTACGATAAACCTTTCGTTCTTACCAGTGAGCTTGGTGATGCATATGGTTGCAATCAGATCGATCACGGGGATATTCACCCGGATAAGAAATCAGCCGACTTAGCAAGTCTATCAATGGCTACGACATGTGCTGGTGGCCAGTGTGCTCCGTACCTTCTCTCGTTATGCACAGATTCGTATACTTATCTCCTCCCGAAACATTCAAATCTATACTTGTCGTGCTGCCTATACCTTCCATGGCAACTCCTCGAGTACCTTCAGAAGCTGCTCGACGCATTCAACGATATCTTCTGCCAGGACTGGGGGTGCAACACCTGCTTGCTGGGTGACAAATGCAAAAGAGGCAAGCACGGATCAACGGATGAAAAGAGTAAGAAGCCGCATTGCCAATGCACATCCGTGGTCAACTGCCGAGGTGTGGCGCCTACATTATATCGATACGGATTCGCATTCGGAAATGCATTCACGTTGAATAACAAAGGCACGAGGAAGCGATGTTGCGATTTATACAGTCAACTATCTGCAGTTCTGAAATCCAATCGCTTCACGCAGCTGTTTGATACTATCGACAAATTTATTTTCATCATAAGAGCACCATTCATATGGACACTGTTAGCCCTCTGGTCGCTCTCGCTCCTCTACCTGCTGCACATCACCGTCGTCCGCCTCGACGTCCTGAGGATCCGCTCCCACCTGAGATCACCTTCAAGCCACCGCATCGCCGCGCAGTCCCTCCTCGCCGCCGCACGCGTCAGGGCACTCGCCAACGTCAAGTACTTCTCACCATAATCGCGCCTTCACGTGTGATCTGTGTATCACCCACTCACCCACTCACTCAACTCACCCACTCACTCACCCAACCACCCACTCACCCACTCACTCACTCACCCACTCACTCACCTCCCTCCTTCACTGGTCGCTTCGCTCCCTCCTCCATCACCCCCTCCACCCACCTCCTCCGTCGGCGTCCTTCGCCCAAACACTCTTTTTCCACTTTCCCCTCCACCTCCAAAATCCCCTCTCCTCAACCCATCTTCCTCCTTCATCGCCCTCTTTCGCCCCTTCACCTCCCTCACCCTGTCCAGCCACCTCCCTCGCTGCCTCCTTCGCCTAAAATCGCCTTTTCCCAAATTCCCCCAAATCGCCCTGAAAATGGGCCATTTCACCTCCTCTAATCGCCTTTCAACCTTTTCTCTCACTTTCTTATCTCACCTCTTTTGCCCTCCCTCCTTGGCCTCCTTCGTCGGCCTCCATCGACTGGTTGATCCAGGTTAGGCATGGGAATGGTGAAAATGGTCTTGAGAACTTGGCTGAGGCTTTGAAAAAGCTGATTGGTGATGCTATTGAAAGTGCTACGAGTAGTCTTTCAAAAAGGGAAAATGAACTTAAATGTCCTGATAAACGTTATGATGAATCCCTTTGTAAGTCTCTTGATGACAAGATCGTTGAGGCTAGAACTGCCTTAAATTCTGATCAATCTAGAACGGCTCAAAATCTTGTTAAAAAGTCTTTAACTGATCTTGCATCCGACCTAGAAAAACATAAATCCAACAAGCAAAAACATTATAACGAAGTTCATTATCTTTCTGAGGATGCTAGGGAGAAAGCTTTGAAGGATGTAACTGAGCGGCAGGCGTCTCTTAATACGCTTAAAGAAAGCCTTAACAAATTCACTGATCAAAATAATTGCAATCAACTTTTAACAAATCTCACTGAAGGCTTAGAAAAGTTCCTCGGTTATAACTCTGATTCCAAAGGCTACTCGGGCGAAGGCATCGTGTACTCCGACCTTGACAGGCTGTGCGACGGGGTGATGTCTTTCCTTCATGGTGTTCTTGAGAGTGTGAAAGATGATGATAACGTTACAACTTATGATGTTACGCCGGATAAAAAGATTTCTACACTTCCCGAAAAATTAGGTAAGTTTATGCACAAAGGTTCTAATGTTTTTCAGGAAGCCATCACACAAGTCTCCGCGGCGCTGCGGGCGTGGAGCGGTGAGCTCGAAGAGCGAACCAAAGACGTAAAAGCACAATTTAATTTTCTTAAAGATCACTATATTACTAATTTTAGTAGCGCACTTAATAAACTTAGCCCACATAGTATTGGTGAGCCCAGCGATGTGGCAGGCAGGCTGGGTGAGTGCATCCACCATGCCCAAATGTTGCTAGCCGGTTTCTCAGATGCCAAAAATGCGTGTTCGAAACTAGATGGTGGGCTTCAAAAACGGCTCCAGAAATCGGTAGGCAACGTCGAAGTGGCGGTGGAAAAGTTCGTTGCAGGTGCGACGAATGAGGAACTCAAGGCCGTCGTAGAGACGGCTTGTAGAGAAATTAACCAATTGGAGATGCAACTGCAAGCTGAAGTTAGCATGCGAATTACGAACTACCAAGTAACTCTGAATAATATATTTAGCAGAGATATTCAAAATCCCATTACTACGGTGAAGGCTGATTTATTGCAAGTTCACACGGATTTGCAGGCGTGGATTCAGGCGGCAAATGGTGTCTTGCAGGAGGCTCAAGCCAAGGTGCTAGAGATTATAAGTGCTGTTAGGCAAGATCAAGGAATGCCGCAAATAATTAGTACGGCGGCAGCAGATTTCGTGAGAGATGCTCTGGCACTGCGCAGAGTTATAGACGATGCTAAAACAACATTGCAGAAGCAGGTGGAGGAGGCGCAGAAGGCTGTATACACAATGAACGAAGCGCTCCGTACAGATTTAGCCACGGTGAAGCAGGCCATTAAACAGGGGATCAGCAAATATGTTACCGAGCAGGTTGAGGAAGCTAGGCATAGAGTTGAAGATTTAGAACACGTCTACAAGCAGGAGTTAGGGAGGGTTAAGAAGGCGGTGGATGACGCTGTTGGAGTTGATGATAAGAGTGGCGTTTTGGGGAGTCTCAGTAAGCTTGACACGCCTGTAAAGGAAGGTTTGAAGGCAGTAAGGGAGAGCATTAAGATTAAGCTGGATAGCTTTGTCAAGACTCAGATTCTTGCTCCTATTCAGGAGAGCGTTGGACGAATTAAGGGTCCCGGTACGGGAGGGGAAACAGGACTCGAGGCAATTGAGACTGCAGTGAGAGAGTATATTGCAAAGTTTGACAAGTTAACGTTTGGGGCCACGGTGGAGGGTTGGGCGATGGATATTATGAAGGACAAAACAGTGGACAACCATCTAACGTATTATTTTAACGGTAACAAACACAAAGACGAGTTTAAAAGTTTGCAGGCAAAGAAGCCTGCTGACGTGAAAGATGCGGTGAAAACCGAAATTGGAAAAATTCTTCAAACAGTCACATCTACTCCTCAATTCTCTAAAGGCTCTATTCAAACATCGTTGGAAGGCATCAAAAAGTTTCTCGACGATTTAGCTGGGCACGTTGATGCAGTTAAACAAACAGATTTCTCCATCATCGGCAGATCAATTGAGGAGAAATTAGGAATTACTAAGCCCACATATTCATATGACAGAAATCTCCAATCTGCAATTTCAACTGTTCTTGCAGCTGTATCCTCTACCGCAAAAAAAAGTGGTGAGGAAATAGATAATCTTATTAAGCAGTGTAAGCTTACTAACATCAACACAGCATTAAATGAAGCTAGTGCACTTCACATGAAGCTTGAGCAGGCTACGCCTGTTGGAAATTCTGTCCCGGAAAGTTACGCAAAGAAAGCTGATAAAGAAATTGAAGGAATACTAACGGCCGAAATCGGTAAGGATGTGACTGATGACACAAATCCTATAAAATTTACAGACAGTGGTCTAATGAAAGAATATAGGAAGTGGACAAAGAGTGACGGTCATCAAAAAGGTACGCTAAGGCAGGAGATTAGTAAGATTACAGAAGTGTTTGGAGAGGCGACAAAGAGGAGTGGCAATAAGTATACCGTTGTCGCGGGACATATCAACGGCTATGACAAGGCCGAACAAGGCATCAACAATCAACTGAATGCCCTTATAAGCGAAAATCTTACCAAGGAACTGGAGACACAGTTGCCGATAGAACCTTTCTCCAGCAAGCAAGTTACGCTCGACAAACTTGTGACCTACAACGGAGGCACTGATAGCGCACGGAAAAAACATACTGGCGCTAAAAAGCAGCTTCAAACAGCAATCAACAAAATTGGAGAAGCAGTGAAAAAGAACCTCACATCAGCGATAGATGTTAAAACGAGGCTAGAAATTTCCAACTCTACCCTCACTGGTTATTTCCAGCAAATCTACGAAAACCTTAATGGCCTTTGCGAAGCAGTCGACAAGCTCATCGGTAACGAACCAAAGTACAGAGATGGGCTCCAGCAGAAGTTAGTAGATCTCGATTCCCTTATTAAATTAAAGGGCCCAAATGGTGCTAGCCCTGACCAAAATAAGCATCTTCAGGGCATCCTAACACGTATCAACACAATCCTTGGGACTGACGCTAGTGACGACACGCCTAATACCTTGGCCACCATTTTCACTAAGGCAGCGCAATTCAAAACTGAAGTCATCGACAAGGAAGCAAACGATGCCATCAAAAACATTCAATCTTTTATCGTCTCCCAAATCAAAACGAAAACAGAAAACATTCAGGAGGCAGCCAAAAACCAATACCAAAGTAAAATAAAGTCAAATTTCGATGACATGAAAAAGAAAGTTACCGAAGATATTAAGATAATTAAATGTGTAATTGATGATGATTTAAAATCCGGGGTGAAGGGTTTAATACGTAAAGTTATGGACAGGGAAAATATGCGTGATAAAAGTGAGCACAACAAATTGAGTCAATTGACAAAGCATCAAGGAGTGCATCCTAAAGATAGAGTTAGAGCACTAGCAGGAAGTTTAAGGGATTATTTGCGTGATATTACGCATTATATAAAAGAGGAAGTAAAAATTCCGTTAGCCTCCACAAAGCCTTCTGTGGGTGTGCCTTTGTTTAAACAAGACAACGAAGAGTCGGGGAAAGTTTCCGACGTACAAGAGAACCTGCGCAAATTTTTTGTTCACCTTGAAGATAATATAACTAGGACTTACGCCTTGGATAACAAGTTTGTCAACTTGTGTGAATCGTTAGGTAGTTCAGTCAGTGCCCTATCTGCTCCAAGGTACTCTGGGTATCATCATCCTCTGTTACTTGACTCACTTAAAACCGGATTGTCACAATTCTGCGCGGAATTACAAACTGCCTATGTCAACAAGTATTGTGATCAAGAATATGTTAACGCCGACGGGCCTAAATACGCCAAGCTTTTCATGAGCATATTGCGAGGCGTCATCGTCGGCTTGGAGAAAGTGGAAGCGAAGTGCAAAGAGAACGGTGAATGGACCGAAAAGAAAATATGTGAGAAGGAAGGGAAAGAGAAAAATCCCCTCGGCGTATTCTTCGAGAACTGCGGTTTCAAAGTTCCACTGAACGACGGTTCAAAACAGGGCGGTGAGCTGAAGTGGAAACATGAGTGGAAGGGCAAAAATGTTTTCGGTCTTCTCAAAGACAACAATACAGGGCTGTTTAAATTTGTCAAGGACGCATATGAATCCGACGTCCTTGATAGACTCCATGCTCTCCTCCACAATTACTACAGTGCCTGCCACCTCAACCACATTCCCACCCCGGCAACGCCGACGAGCGTATACAAGATGCTTATTTGGCTCAGTGGTTTCTGGTACAATCCGATGTACGAAAAGGTTACCATGTATGTTAGACAATTATTCGACAAGCCGAAAGAGGAGTCAAAATTGCAAGATCCCTCCAACTACAAACTTGACGCCACTAGGCCATTCAGTGCCACGACCATTACAGAGACACTTAGCGATGTATGTGACCACGCGGAAAAAACGCTGGTTGCTATACTAGGCTTCGGCCACGCGGAAGGTGAATATGCCGTTGAGTTCACCGACAACTCACATAAATTATTTTATCCCTCCAACGCCGGTTCCTGTTTCGACATGTTGGTAAATACATTGAATAGAGTTAGTTATCAACTATCTCTTTTATATTATCAATGTTGCGACACCACCGATGTCGGCGGCTGGCGTGACTGCTGGTATGGTCGGGGCATCGGTGGGTCGGCTTGGAACTGCAACACAATGCAATGTCCCAACCAGGTCTCTGACCAAAGTGCTACCCAAAATGCCAACCAAAGTGCTACCCAAAATGCCAACCAAAGTGCTACCCAAAAGCACAACCAAACATGTACCCAAAAGTGCAACCAAAGTGTTAACTGTGGCCTTAAGTCACCACTTCAGTCCTTCTTAGAGGACGGTCTTCCAGGGTTCCTCCCACACTCATTCAAATCGCCAGGGTGTAAGCTGGAATGTACTCTATCCAACCACAGAGGTATACCATGCATCACTCCAATGGGTTTTACGGACCTTAGTGTTGCGGCATCTCATATACAGAGAGGCGCAGATCTCAAGAAGGTGCTTCATGATTTCTGCGGAAGCCATGACTCTCCTCTCAGCAAATTGTGCGGTCAGCTTAATTGTCTTCTTGGCACTGCGCCTAAAACGCTTGGCGATATGTATGCATTCTACTATAACTTCCTAAATGGGTGGAAAGTCAGCGACGCTCATAGGAAGGATGCCTTTGATGCGGCTGTCAAAAAGGCATATTTCGGTCAGATGTATGATCAATTGGACATTTCTACAATGTTCAATAGCAGTGTTCACTCAAAAGAGAATCACGATAAAGGTGACCTCTTTAGTCTCTCTTGCAGAGATACATCAAGCGTCAAGTGCGGCCGGTATATTCAACCTCTTAACCATAGCACATGGTTTATCTTCTCTAGCAGAAATGCCGGCAAATATCTCACGTGGGTTCTCTACTTGACAGAAACATTCTATAATTACCTTGAGCAACTATGGAAAGAATGTTGCGATAATTGCAACAAGAAAGGGGCCAGGTGCCATGACAGAAGCTGCGTGGAGAAGTGTCAAGTTAAGTCCGCTTATGTAGCTCAAAAATCTGATACTGCGGACGCAGACAGCAAGAAACTCGATAACAAAAATCACAGCAATGAATGCAAGTCCATAGTAAATTGCCCCTTAACACGTCCCACTTTGTGCAAATATGGATTCGTATTTAAAAGTCCATGGAGCCTCATTGGCGATAAGGGAACTGGCAAAAAGCGTTCATGTAAGGATTTCTGCGAAGCACTGCAGAGAGTGTTAAGCAAAGAGAAGAATACGAATGATGTGCTCAGCAAACTGATATTTGAGACAATTTCAGAATTCCTATGGAAGATACGTCTCCCATTCTCCATCACTTTGTTAGCCCTCTGGTCGCTGTCGCTCCTGTACCTGCTGCACATCACCGTCGTCCGCCTCGACGTCCTGAGGATACGCTCACACCTGAGATCACCCTCAAGCCACCGCATCGCCGCGCAGTCGCTACTCGCCGCCGCACGCGTCAAGGCACTCGCCAACGTCAAGTACTTCTCACCATAATCGTGCCTTCACGTGTGATCTGTGTATCACTCACTCACCCACTCACCCACTCAACCACTCACCAACTCACATACTCACTCAACCACATACTCACTCAACCACCCACTAACTCACTCACCCACTCAACCACTCAACCACCCACTAACTCACTCACACACCCACTCACCTACTCACTCACCCACTCAACCACCCACCCACTCAACCACTCAACCACTCACACACTCAACCACTCACCACTCAACCACTCAACTTACTCACACACCTAATCTTTACTCACTCCTTTCACTCTTGCTTCGCTCCCTGCCTTTCTCCACCCACCTCCTCCGTCGGCGTCCTTCGCCCAAAACATTTTCCATTTTCCCCTCCACCTCCAAAATCCCTCTCCTCAACCCATCTTCCTCCTTCACCGCCCTCTTTCGCCCCTTCACCTCCCTCACCCTGTCCACCCACCTCCCTCGCTGCCTCCGTCACCGAAAATCGCCTTTCTCCAAATTCCCCCAAATCGCCCTGAAAATGTGCCATTTCACCACCTTTTTAATATTAATGATGTCTATCAATCTCCTCAAAATGCCTCTGAAATTGACAAGCTTAATAAGGATCTTCAGTCTCATAATGCTTCAATGAAGTCTCTTGAGACACTGAAAGAGCTTTGTGATTTTGCTGAGTCACTGAAAACTAATGAAAATAAGAGTCCACATGATTTACTTGATAAATTGTGCACAGGCCTCGAAAAATTTCTCGGCTACAGTAATGGTAATTACACGGGTGATGGCATCGTGTACTCTGACCTTGACAGGCTGTGCGACGGGGTGATGGCGTTCCTTCATGGTGTTTTAAGTAACATTAAGCCTAAATTAGGCTTACATAGTCATCACATTAATGATGCTATAAGGCTTCTTAACACCAATAAACACTCTGGCAAAGAAGGTTTTAATGCTGCGATTGGCGAAGTGGTCAAGGGGTGAACAAGTATAATGAGGGTGTGAAGGCGTCGAATGAGAGTATTACGGATAGAATGACAACATTTATGGAACAGATGAGTAGAATGAAAAGTGATGTTGCAAAATATAATGATCATAATAGTGTCAGGGATCTTGATGTTAAGGTCAGCCAGTGTCTCATGGAGGCGCAGCAGTACTATCACGGCATGGACGCTCAAAAAAGTAGTAATATTAAAGACCTCCAAAATGAATTGGAGAAAGATGTTAATAATGCTACTGAAATAATTAGATATCAGCGTGGGAGGCTGAGTGCAATCCATGACACTCAGAAGAGGCATTTGCAGCAGGTGACTGAATTGGTTGAGAGTAGGATTGATGCTGCCAGAGATTTAATCAAGTCAACTACGACAGAGAAAATACGGGATTTTGTTAGGGATTTAAATATGAAAATAGATATGCTAAGTAGGAAAGTTTGGGATGCTGATGCTGCCTTGAAAAAATACGTCACCGACATTGAAGGATGGATAAATAAAGCAGATGATGCAGTTGATAAGGCGATAACCAAAATTGATTGCATTTTAGATCAAGTGGATGGGTCTAGAAGAAAAGATACAAACAAGCAAAACCTAGAAGAAGCTGTTGAGGACTTGAGAAAGAAAACGCTTCATTTCTTGGAGGCGTACAACTATGCCAAAGGGGTGTACACAGCGGCGGCGGCGAAACTCCCGGATTTGCTTGGTAAGGTCACGCAGGCAATTAAGGGATTAGATAGTGTTATCATGAATGATTTGGAAAGCCTAGAAGCAAAATTCAAGACTGCGTTAGGAGAATATGTTAAGGAGCAGGTTGATGCTCTTATTGATGCTATTAATGCTGCTGATGCATCCGGTGGAGGAGGTATGGAAGCTAAAGCTGGCCCCGGCATTAAAGGCCTGAAAAATGTGAGTGCATTAATGGAGACTATCGAAAGAGCCGACGAACTGTTGAAGGACACCATAGAACTTGCGATGAGTGATTTTCACGATTTTACTGGTTCGAGTACTTGGTCAAAGGGCGATAAAAATCCTGTAATTATAGCACTCAAAGATGATCTTGAGAGCGCAATTGGGACCGTGATGACCGAGTATCTGAAGAGCACTGATGAATTCAGAACTCAAATGAAGGCCTATAAACCATATGTTGAGAGTAACGGTGCAATTGACAGGGCCATTCAAGACGTTCGCGGGAAAACGTTAGGCAAATTCACTGATCCAATAAACGTAAAATCGATCGACAATGAGTCCATAAATCAAAATGCGAACAATTTTCGGACTAACTTCGGACAGCTCTGCAAAGCGATTACCGATGCTGCTGCAGACGGCAATGCCAGCGCTAAAGATAAATTGAAGGAACTTAAAGGATTAATCTCAAAGGAAAATCCGAAACATACAGGTAGTCTACAGAAACTTAAAGAAGATATCAGTAATCTGCAAAAAATGACTTGTATACCCTTATCAGTGAAGCAAATAGAATTGTTCGATATGCCAATTCGTCCGGAATAGAAATGATGCAGCAACTCTTGCACCTTGTTACAGAAAAAATCAATGGAGCAAGAGACACCATTCTGGAGAACATCAAAACAAACTACGTCGTGTTCCTCAGAGCGCAGCTTCACGAATTCGCCACGAAAGTCAACGAGTTACTTACCAACCTTCCCACCAAGGTGGCTTCGGATGCAGACAAACATTACAAGGGTTTTATGAAGGAGCTAAAAGGGAACTTAGATGATAACCTTATTGGTGTAAATATGTCCAATCTAGGCACTGTATCTCCAAAGGTGAGGGATTTCTTCATTGCACTGCTTACGACTCTCAACGGCAATCCAGAGATTATGTTAAATCGTGATAATATCCCAGACCTGCAACACAAACTCTCCACCCTCCTCTCCTCCCTCTCCAAATACGACCGCCCCTTCCAAACTAACCTCTCCGCCCTCCACAATGTCCTCTCCACCATCCGCCCCGCTTCGTACTCCGCCGAAAGCAATCCCCTGCTCGACGTTCTCACAAAAGGCCTGACAGGGATGCACGCTGAACTCAAAAAGGCGTACGTGTCGGCGTATGATGGTGTGAAGTTTGCTGCTGCGTTGACGGAGACTAAAGTAGGAGCTGATGGACGTACAGCCGGGAAGTTAACAGCGTACGGCACGAAGTGCGCTAAAGTATTTCTAACTGCACTTTACATATTATCCGATGACTTAAACACATTGAAAAAATATGCCGGTAGTACATGGAAACGTGACACAATATATAAGGAAGCATCAGTCGGCTACTTTCTCTCCCACCGCGGCTATGAAGTATCCAAGAAAGACGAGCATAATGGTGAATTGCGTGATGATGGTGGTATGCTTGGTTTTCATATCTACAGGAAACTTGAGAATGCCATAGAAAGCGCCAAGAGCAACGAACATCTTCCGAAGTGCAAGGACCATGACCAAAATGGACAAGATGAAGAAAGAGTATCAACTACCCCAAGATCACCATTTAGTGTAATAGGCATTCTAGCATGTCTATTCAGACATCTCCACCAATATAACCGTGTGTCTCACCTAATTTTCCACCCTAAGCCTAAGCATCCGTCTTCCATTTACGATATGCTCACATGGCTTAGCGGTCTCACTTATAATGCCGTAAACAATGACTTAGCACTTAACGGTTTCCCTCAGCTATTTGATAAGCCTAAGAAACCGGCGTCAGAGGACAGCGACAGTGCTGAGCCTGTCGTCCTAGTGGAAGATGATGACGCTTTAGAGGCCTATCCAAAGGCTATCACAGCGATGGGACTCTCCGACACCCTGACAGACGTGTGCCACAAATCACACGCCGTGCTCGTCGCAATCCTAGGCCACGGTCATTCCGGTGGAATTTATGCTTGCGACTTCAATACGAATCCACAAGGGTTCCTATATCCCGCTCACTTTAACGCATTAGTCTGTATGCTCTTCGAATGCCTGAAACGTGTCCACCACCAGCTTTATCTGTTGTATCAGCAATGTAAACACACTTCCAAACTTAGCGGTTGGAGCGATTGCCATTACGGCAAAAATGTAGCCGGGTCGTCATGGCAGTGCAACACCAACCAATGCGCTGACCCAGACTGTCCTCAAAGTGCTGACCAAAAGGGCAACCAGAACAATAACCAAGCACCTAACCAAACATGTAAGCAACACCCTAAGTGCGGTTTGAAATCGCCTTTGCAGTCTTTCCTTGAGGACGGCCTACAAGGCTTCCTGCCACATAACATAACAGTTAGGGGCACCGGCCTCACATGCTCCACCTGTAGTAAGGGATCCCCTGGCATTCCCTGCAGAACTCCAATGGGCTTCTCGGAAATAAGCCTCACCGCATCGCACAGTAAGACGGGAGCTCATATATGCGATGTTCTTTACAAATTCTGTCACAGTGTACACTCTCCTCTAACCAAGTTGTGCAGTCAGCTAAATTGCGTACTGCCCAGCGCACCTAAAACGTTGGATCAGATGTTTGCGTTTTATTTTCATCTGCTTAGTGACCCGACTAAGAACAGAGAACATAGGACAGATGCCTTTAACAAGGCCGTTATCGCAGCGAATTTCGACAACGAGTACAACACTGGACGTTAGCAAAATGTTCGGCAGCAGTAATCACTCTGAGAATCATCTTAGAGGTGGCCTCCACACCCTTGTTAAATGCGAAGATAACGCGGTGGCCCAGTCCAGCCGTGCGGATACCTGAGGGCGATGGCATAACGGTGCGGTTTCTAAAGACCACTCTGCCAAATACGCTGTCGGCATATAACAGGAACCTATCGAGTATTACCTTCCGATCCAAGTGTTCCATCTCAGGCATATGCGGTCAATATATGCAGCCTCTGTGTGTACATGCCTACCATTCGTTTTCTAAAAAACAGGCTGGACTGCACCTTTCATGGTTCGTACACCTAGCATGGAAATTCTGGGAATTGCTTGATTGCTTCCTTAAGGCCTTCCAGGATGCTCAATGCAAATCATATGGATGCTCATCGTGTAACTGCGGCAGCGGTAAGCACGGCGACAAAGAAGCCTGTAAGTGTGAATCGGTTGTAAAATGTGGCAGCGTTGTATCCACATTCTATCAATACGGATTCACATTTGGCAACGCAAAGCAACTCGCATCCACAAAGAAATGTGATATGCTATGTGCACAGCTTAAGAGAGTAGTATATTCCCAGCAATTCAAAGATCTATTTGACGCAATAGATAAGTTCATCTGGGCAATACGTACACCCTTCTCCTACCTCTTATTAGCCCTCTGGTCGCTGTCGCTCCTGTACCTGCTGCACATCACCGTCGTCCGCCTCGACGTCCTGAGGATACGCTCCCACCTGAGATCACCCGCAAGCCACCGCATCGCCGCGCAGTCCCTCCTCGCCGCCGCACGCGTCAGGGCACTCGCCAACGTCAAGTACTTCTCACCATAATCGTGCCTTCACCCACTAACTCACTCACACACCCACTCACCTACTCACTCACCCACTCAACCACCCACCCACTCAACCACTCAACCACTCACACACTCAACCACCCACCCACTCAACCACTCAACCACTCACACACCTAATCACCCACTCACCTCTCTTTCACTGGTCGCTTCGCTCCCTGCCTCCCTCCACCCACCTCCTCCGTCGGCGTCCTTCGCCCAAACACTCTTTTTCCACTTTCCCCTCCACCTCCAAAATCCCCTCTCCTCAACCCATCTTCCTCCTTCACCGCCCTCTTTCGCCCCTTCACCTCCCTCACCCTGTCCACCCACCTCCCTCGCTGCCTCCGTCACCGAAAATCGCCTTTCTCCAAATTCCCCCAAATCGCCCTGAAAATGTGCCATTTCACCACCTTTTTAATATTAATGATGTCTATCAATCTCCTCAAAATGCCTCTGAAATTGACAAGCTTAATAAGGATCTTCAGTCTCATAATGCTTCAATGAAGTCTCTTGAGACACTGAAAGAGCTTTGTGATTTTGCTGAGTCACTGAAAACTAATGAAAATAAGAGTCCACATGATTTACTTGATAAATTGTGCACAGGCCTCGAAAAATTTCTCGGCTACAGTAATGGTAATTACACGGGTGATGGCATCGTGTACTCTGACCTTGACAGGCTGTGCGACGGGGTGATGGCGTTCCTTCATGGTGTTTTAAGTAACATTAAGCCTAAATTAGGCTTACATAGTCATCACATTAATGATGCTATAAGGCTTCTTAACACCAATAAACACTCTGGCAAAGAAGGTTTTAATGCTGCGATTGGCGAAGTGGTCAAGGGGTGAACAAGTATAATGAGGGTGTGAAGGCGTCGAATGAGAGTATTACGGATAGAATGACAACATTTATGGAACAGATGAGTAGAATGAAAAGTGATGTTGCAAAATATAATGATCATAATAGTGTCAGGGATCTTGATGTTAAGGTCAGCCAGTGTCTCATGGAGGCGCAGCAGTACTATCACGGCATGGACGCTCAAAAAAGTAGTAATATTAAAGACCTCCAAAATGAATTGGAGAAAGATGTTAATAATGCTACTGAAATAATTAGATATCAGCGTGGGAGGCTGAGTGCAATCCATGACACTCAGAAGAGGCATTTGCAGCAGGTGACTGAATTGGTTGAGAGTAGGATTGATGCTGCCAGAGATTTAATCAAGTCAACTACGACAGAGAAAATACGGGATTTTGTTAGGGATTTAAATATGAAAATAGATATGCTAAGTAGGAAAGTTTGGGATGCTGATGCTGCCTTGAAAAAATACGTCACCGACATTGAAGGATGGATAAATAAAGCAGATGATGCAGTTGATAAGGCGATAACCAAAATTGATTGCATTTTAGATCAAGTGGATGGGTCTAGAAGAAAAGATACAAACAAGCAAAACCTAGAAGAAGCTGTTGAGGACTTGAGAAAGAAAACGCTTCATTTCTTGGAGGCGTACAACTATGCCAAAGGGGTGTACACAGCGGCGGCGGCGAAACTCCCGGATTTGCTTGGTAAGGTCACGCAGGCAATTAAGGGATTAGATAGTGTTATCATGAATGATTTGGAAAGCCTAGAAGCAAAATTCAAGACTGCGTTAGGAGAATATGTTAAGGAGCAGGTTGATGCTCTTATTGATGCTATTAATGCTGCTGATGCATCCGGTGGAGGAGGTATGGAAGCTAAAGCTGGCCCCGGCATTAAAGGCCTGAAAAATGTGAGTGCATTAATGGAGACTATCGAAAGAGCCGACGAACTGTTGAAGGACACCATAGAACTTGCGATGAGTGATTTTCACGATTTTACTGGTTCGAGTACTTGGTCAAAGGGCGATAAAAATCCTGTAATTATAGCACTCAAAGATGATCTTGAGAGCGCAATTGGGACCGTGATGACCGAGTATCTGAAGAGCACTGATGAATTCAGAACTCAAATGAAGGCCTATAAACCATATGTTGAGAGTAACGGTGCAATTGACAGGGCCATTCAAGACGTTCGCGGGAAAACGTTAGGCAAATTCACTGATCCAATAAACGTAAAATCGATCGACAATGAGTCCATAAATCAAAATGCGAACAATTTTCGGACTAACTTCGGACAGCTCTGCAAAGCGATTACCGATGCTGCTGCAGACGGCAATGCCAGCGCTAAAGATAAATTGAAGGAACTTAAAGGATTAATCTCAAAGGAAAATCCGAAACATACAGGTAGTCTACAGAAACTTAAAGAAGATATCAGTAATCTGCAAAAAATGACTTGTATACCCTTATCAGTGAAGCAAATAGAATTGTTCGATATGCCAATTCGTCCGGAATAGAAATGATGCAGCAACTCTTGCACCTTGTTACAGAAAAAATCAATGGAGCAAGAGACACCATTCTGGAGAACATCAAAACAAACTACGTCGTGTTCCTCAGAGCGCAGCTTCACGAATTCGCCACGAAAGTCAACGAGTTACTTACCAACCTTCCCACCAAGGTGGCTTCGGATGCAGACAAACATTACAAGGGTTTTATGAAGGAGCTAAAAGGGAACTTAGATGATAACCTTATTGGTGTAAATATGTCCAATCTAGGCACTGTATCTCCAAAGGTGAGGGATTTCTTCATTGCACTGCTTACGACTCTCAACGGCAATCCAGAGATTATGTTAAATCGTGATAATATCCCAGACCTGCAACACAAACTCTCCACCCTCCTCTCCTCCCTCTCCAAATACGACCGCCCCTTCCAAACTAACCTCTCCGCCCTCCACAATGTCCTCTCCACCATCCGCCCCGCTTCGTACTCCGCCGAAAGCAATCCCCTGCTCGACGTTCTCACAAAAGGCCTGACAGGGATGCACGCTGAACTCAAAAAGGCGTACGTGTCGGCGTATGATGGTGTGAAGTTTGCTGCTGCGTTGACGGAGACTAAAGTAGGAGCTGATGGACGTACAGCCGGGAAGTTAACAGCGTACGGCACGAAGTGCGCTAAAGTATTTCTAACTGCACTTTACATATTATCCGATGACTTAAACACATTGAAAAAATATGCCGGTAGTACATGGAAACGTGACACAATATATAAGGAAGCATCAGTCGGCTACTTTCTCTCCCACCGCGGCTATGAAGTATCCAAGAAAGACGAGCATAATGGTGAATTGCGTGATGATGGTGGTATGCTTGGTTTTCATATCTACAGGAAACTTGAGAATGCCATAGAAAGCGCCAAGAGCAACGAACATCTTCCGAAGTGCAAGGACCATGACCAAAATGGACAAGATGAAGAAAGAGTATCAACTACCCCAAGATCACCATTTAGTGTAATAGGCATTCTAGCATGTCTATTCAGACATCTCCACCAATATAACCGTGTGTCTCACCTAATTTTCCACCCTAAGCCTAAGCATCCGTCTTCCATTTACGATATGCTCACATGGCTTAGCGGTCTCACTTATAATGCCGTAAACAATGACTTAGCACTTAACGGTTTCCCTCAGCTATTTGATAAGCCTAAGAAACCGGCGTCAGAGGACAGCGACAGTGCTGAGCCTGTCGTCCTAGTGGAAGATGATGACGCTTTAGAGGCCTATCCAAAGGCTATCACAGCGATGGGACTCTCCGACACCCTGACAGACGTGTGCCACAAATCACACGCCGTGCTCGTCGCAATCCTAGGCCACGGTCATTCCGGTGGAATTTATGCTTGCGACTTCAATACGAATCCACAAGGGTTCCTATATCCCGCTCACTTTAACGCATTAGTCTGTATGCTCTTCGAATGCCTGAAACGTGTCCACCACCAGCTTTATCTGTTGTATCAGCAATGTAAACACACTTCCAAACTTAGCGGTTGGAGCGATTGCCATTACGGCAAAAATGTAGCCGGGTCGTCATGGCAGTGCAACACCAACCAATGCGCTGACCCAGACTGTCCTCAAAGTGCTGACCAAAAGGGCAACCAGAACAATAACCAAGCACCTAACCAAACATGTAAGCAACACCCTAAGTGCGGTTTGAAATCGCCTTTGCAGTCTTTCCTTGAGGACGGCCTACAAGGCTTCCTGCCACATAACATAACAGTTAGGGGCACCGGCCTCACATGCTCCACCTGTAGTAAGGGATCCCCTGGCATTCCCTGCAGAACTCCAATGGGCTTCTCGGAAATAAGCCTCACCGCATCGCACAGTAAGACGGGAGCTCATATATGCGATGTTCTTTACAAATTCTGTCACAGTGTACACTCTCCTCTAACCAAGTTGTGCAGTCAGCTAAATTGCGTACTGCCCAGCGCACCTAAAACGTTGGATCAGATGTTTGCGTTTTATTTTCATCTGCTTAGTGACCCGACTAAGAACAGAGAACATAGGACAGATGCCTTTAACAAGGCCGTTATCGCAGCGAATTTCGACAATTCGAGTACAACACTGGACGTTAGCAAAATGTTCGGCAGCAGTAATCACTCTGAGAATCATCTTAGAGGTGGCCTCCACACCCTTGTTAAATGCGAAGATAACGGCGGTGGCCCAGTCCAGCCGTGCGGTTCATACCTGAGGCCGTTTTGCGATGGCATATACGGTGCGGTTTCTAAAGACCACTCTGCCAAATATCTGTCTTGGGTGCTATATATAACAGGAACGTTTTATGATTTACTTAAGTCATTGTATGACGAGTGCTGCAGTAATTGCACTAAGCCGGGAAGCAAGTGCAATGGTCGAGGATGTCACAAGGAGTGCATGGTTAAAGGAGGATACCTATATGCGAACACAACTCCCAGTCATTGGTCGGAGTGCAAATCGATTGTCAACTGTAAAATGACACTTCCCACATTATGCAAATATGGAATGTATTTCGCAAGTAAATCTCATCTGAATGGAGAGAGAGATGGAGCTGGAAAACGTACATGTGAAGACTTTTGCAGTACATTAGGAAAAGTTGTAAAAAAAGGAAACGCATTGCATACGTTGGTACACAAATTAATACCAGAATTCTTATTCACAATTCGTGAACCCTTCATCTGGACATTGTTAGCCCTCTGGTCGCTGTCGCTCCTGTACCTGCTGCACATCACCGTCGTCCGCCTCGACGTCCTGAGGATACGCTCCCACCTGAGATCACCCGCAAGCCACCGCATCGCCGCGCAGTCGCTGCTCGCCGCCGCACGCGTCAGGGCACTCGCCAACGTCAAGTACTTCTCACCATAATCGTGCCTTCACTACTCACTCAACCACTCAACCACTCAACCACCCACCCACTCACCCACTCACCCACATACTCACTCACTCACATACTCACTCACTCACCCACTCACTCACCTCACTCACCCACTCACTCACTCACTCACCCACCCACTCACCCACTCAACCACCCACCCACTCACCTAATCACGCACTCACTCAACCACCCACCCACTCACCTAATCACGCACTCACTCAACCACCCAACCACTCACTCAACCACCCAACCACCCACTCAACCACTCACCCACTCACCCACTCACCTACTCACCTACTCACTCACTCACCCACTCAACCACCCACTCAACCACCCACACACTCACTCAACCACCCACATACTCACCTATCCACCCACCCACTCACCTAATCACATACCCACTCACTCAACCACTCAACCACTCACTCACCTCCCTCCTTCCCTGGTCGCTTCGCTCCCTGCCTCCCTCCTCCCTCACCTCCTCCGTCGGCGTCCTTCACCCAAATCCTCATTTTCCACTTTCTCCCTCCACCTCCGAAATCGCCCCTTTTCGCCCCTTCACCTCCCTCACCCTGTCCACCCACCTCCCTCACTGCCTCGCTGCCTCCTCACCTAAAATCGCCTTTCCCCAAATTCCCCCAAATCGCCCTGAAAATGTGCGTAAAATAATCCTTCAACAACATTATTAAATAACCTCTGCACAGGCCTCGAAAAATTTCTCGGCTACGATAATGGTAATTACACCGGAGAGGGAATTGTGTACTCCGATCTTGACAGGCTCTGCGACGGGGTGATGTCTTTCCTTCATGGTGTTCTTGATGGAGTGAAGGATGATGAGAGTGTAAAGAAATATGATGGTTATATTCAAGTAGATAAATTGTCTACTGTACTTAACACACTTACTAAAAGTATTGGCTCCGGGCGTGTTGGCCTTTCGCAGTCTGTCGGCGAGGTGATGAGGTGGTTGGGGAAATATAATGATGAAGTTGATAGCAAGACAAGAGGAGTGACCAATGGATTATCTACGCTTATAGGTAAGTTACATGATGGGTCTCATGTTGTTGCAGGTGATTACTACAATCAAGTTCAAGGGACGGAAGCATTGGGACTGGAGACTCAGCTGGACGTCTGGAAGGGTACGGTGAAGAATATCGAGGACGAACTTAATCACATAGAAACCTATAATGTTACTAAATTAGATAGCACATTACAGTCGCACATAAAGCACAAATTAGAGCCTGTCAAAAAGGTGGTTGCGCACCTGAGTAACGTTGCTGAGAATACGGCATTCCGCCCTAAGGTGGAGGCTGTCGATAGGCAATTAAGGGAGCGGGAAGATGCAGTCACTCAGCTAATTGATAAAAAGTCTAGAGAGCTTGGGGAAACAGTAGAAACTAAGTTTGACCTTATTGATGAAAATTTAAAGACTATTAGTGGCTTGCATACTGGTGACTTTAAGGTTTTGATGCAGTTGGTTAGCACGCTGGAGAAAGACGTTGAAACTGCAGATCAGGGAGCAAAAGCGTTGGAGACACATTATAATACTAAAATTGTTGAGCAGTTGGAGAAGGTTAATGGACAGGCTGTCCGGCTTGATACGGAGAATATTACTAATGGTCTCCGTACAGTTTTCACTGCGGTGAGTAATCAGCTGGACGCGCTAAAAAGCCAATTGGTAGAGCTTTGTGGTTTCGGAAATGAAGTTACAAGAGGGGTAAAGGATAACGTGAGTGGTGTCGACACTGAGTTGCAACAGCAGATCACATCGCTTAAGCAGCAAATTAAGAGTAAAATTACGAAATATGTTGGTGATACGTTGGCTAACAAAATTAAGAAGGCGATCGAAGAAAAAACAGATTTAATTGCCAAAGGGGATGGTCCCTTAAATAATGTTGTGGACGGTATTAAGCAGTATGCTGCGAAGTTTTCTACAAAAGAGACGTTTGGGAAGGAAGTTTTGAATGAGTGGTTGGAGGATATTTTGAAGGACAGGAAGGCGTTTCAGTGGAACCTTAATATGTATGTTAGCGAAAATAAAAGAAATAATCACCTCTCTGGTATTTCGAGTGGCAGTGACCCCAAGCTGCTTAATCCAATAAAGGAGCATATAAAGAGCGCGCTTGAGAAAAAAGTTTATAATGGTAGTGAAGTTGAATTCATCACCCAGCCTAACGGTGAGATTTCCGATAATGTCGGGAAAATACAGGCGGCTTGCACAAGTTTTGCCACTCAACTTGAGAAAGTTAAGCGTGACGAAATGACGTTTATTTCTGACATAGTCGGAGCGATTGGCACCGGTTTAGGGGTGAGCTCTGGTGCTACCATTTCAGATGGTTACTACGATGGATATCTCACCAACGCCATAGACACCATCCTCCAACGACTCTCCGCCAAATCAAAAGAAGCCGCCATCGAGCTGAACTGGCTCACTGACGAAGGGCCAATCAACTTGGGCGCCAAAGTGAAGGCGGCGATAACTAGAGTTAAAGACCTTGTCAAGGACCTTGATGAACAGCTTACCCCAACAGGAACTAACACTATAGGTGACGATGTTCAGAAAGAGCTCGGCGAACAGGCCACCAACAGCGAAGTAGAAAAAGGTTTAAGAGACCTCCTCAAGGATGCAGCAGAGAGAGCTATCGAGAAGCTAAATGCTAAAGTGAAGCATATCACTAGTACACAACTTGATGGTACCAAATCGGCTATTGAATCACAGAATAATAAGCTGAGGAAGGACCCCGCCGGCGCTATATATAGAGCCGCCCAAGATCTGCAGGTTCAGATAACTGAATTACAAGAACTGACATCACAAGTCAACGATAACGCAGAAGGGCAAATCAGCCGGCGCATTACGTTCCTGAAAGAACAAGTTGCGGCGCTGAAAGAGAGTGTTCTAAAAATAAACAAATCCATTAAAAAATTCGATGAAGATTTGAATAATGCCATTGAAACTGCGCGATATAACGCTTTTCAAGCTCGCCATGAACTTCAACGCCAAATCATGACTGCGCAAAGTGAGCTCACACAGACTACTGAAGAAGCTTTCACAGAAGTCAAAAAGGCCGTGCAAGCTATGTTCGTAAAACAGCACGAAACCGACTTGGATGAACTTAAGAAATTAGTCAGCGACCAAAAAGACGCGATACAGCATATTATAAATCGAGATAAAATTACAGGAGGCAAAGGCTTATTAAATAAACTCCATGCTCACTTTGTTCCTGAAGTAAAGGATATAGACACGACTCCAAGCTCCAAACTAAAAGACGCAGTGGAGCGTCTGCATCGTGGAATAAATAGATTCTTTCCGGAGCTGGAAAAGCAGGCCAACATGGAATCGCATTCCACGGAGATAAATAACATCTATAAGAGTTTAATAAAATTAGTCAAACAGTTATTCGAGTCGGAGCACTTCGACCATCTCGTCGAGAAGAAACGTGAGGAGTTCGAAAACGCACTTGCTTCATTTTCGACTGACACAATGAAAGACGCCCCAAAGGCTGTCTTGTCTCCTCTGAAGCGCGGCTTACAAGACTTTGTCCGTGAATTGCAGAAGCAGTACGTTAACAAGTACGAGGGGTGTCAGCCGATCACTCAGTGGGTAACTCAGGACACTGAGCAAAACGCTGAGCAAGGCGCTGACCAAATCGCTGGGCAAAACACAAAGTTGACGTCTGATGGTGAGAAGTGCGCCAGCGTTCTCGTTACCATCATTGCGAATATCTATGAGGACTTAAAGTTGTTGCGGGATGGATGTGCCAAGCATGGTCCTTGTGAAAAGAAACGTGTTTACCTATACGAGCCATCACCAGATGATGTAAAAAGAACGGAAAACAAACTAGGCGTATGGTTAGACCACCAAGGATTTACGGTGTCCAAGGAAAAAGGCTCCCATGAAGGTGAATTAAGGAATAAAGATGAATGCAACGGTAAGCATATTCTTACTCTGCTCGAAAGCAACAGTCTCATTAGCCGGCCGTTCTCAGATGATGAGGCCTACCAAGGAGATGTGGTCGAATTATATGAGTGCTTTGCAGCTTATATGACAGTTTGTCACCTTCGACTGCCTCAATCGAAAACATATCCGTCTTCAGTTAGAGACATGTTGTCATGGATGGCGGGACTTCCGTACACTCAGATTTACGGTCAAATTAATAAGCATTGCACAGAGCTCCTGAAAAAGGAAGTCGAGGAAGCTCAAAAGAAATCCCAGGCACCGGACACAGTACTGAAGAAAATTCTAACTACCGACCTATATTACAGCCTCTCTTCTACTTGCCGAACTTCTTATCGACTCCTCAAAACAATATGCGGAAATGGCCGTGGCAACGACCAAACAGACTATCCCTATGCCTGCTATTTCCTAGACAATTCTCGCGGTTTCCACTATCCAGATAGCGTATCTACTCTAATCGATGTGTTGAAAAATATATGCTCACGTTTACTTCGATCACTCTACTTTCTTCGTACAAGATGCGGATACGACGCGTCTACAGCCAACGGTTGGTATGATTGCCGATATGGCAAAGATGTCTCCGCTTACCAGTTGCCGTGTAAAAATGCATCTCACTCCGATGCGGAATGTGTCCCGAAATCTCCACTCCAAGCCCACTTAACTGATGCCCTTCCCGGAATGTTGCCGCACGCGGTAGCGTCTGTTGGCTGTAAGTCGGCTTGCAACACTTGTCCCAAGACATCTGCTGGCCAACCGTGTCTGACACCTATGGGCTTATGGGATTTGACAACTTCGGCGTCTATCAACAAAACGGGGCGTAATATATGTAAAGTGCTCGACGAGTTGTGTAAAGATGCCGAGTCACCCCTCTGCTCTCTGCTGCGGTGTCTGCAATTTGTGTCTCCATTCCCACCTAGCAGTTTACCAGACATGTTCTCCTTATTCTGTAATTTCTTCCAATGCAGGAAAGTAGACAGTAGAACTGACCGTTTACGATATGGCCACAATGCCGATTTTAAACAGTACTTGACCGATGAGACCATAGAGGCTGCGTTCCCACTGCACAAGTGGTATCACGAAAATTTCAGTAATGCCATTCTCACCAACGCACTGACTAAATTAGAGAATTCTGTCGATAATCACAACGAATCTCCTCCAAAAGATGCAGATCCCAAGACGCTGTCGAGCACCCATTCGGACCTATCGAGTATTACCTTCCGATCCAAGTGTTCCATCTCAGGCATATGCGGTCAATATATGCAGCCTCTGTGTGTACATGCCTACCATTCGTTTTCTAAAAAACAGGCTGGACTGCACCTTTCATGGTTCGTACACCTAGCATGGAAATTCTGGGAATTGCTTGATTGCTTCCTTAAGGCCTTCCAGGATGCTCAATGCAAATCATATGGATGCTCATCGTGTAACTGCGGCAGCGGTAAGCACGGCGACAAAGAAGCCTGTAAGTGTGAATCGGTTGTAAAATGTGGCAGCGTTGTATCCACATTCTATCAATACGGATTCACATTTGGCAACGCAAAGCAACTCGCATCCACAAAGAAATGTGATATGCTATGTGCACAGCTTAAGAGAGTAGTATATTCCCAGCAATTCAAAGATCTATTTGACGCAATAGATAAGTTCATCTGGGCAATACGTGCAGCCCTTCTCCTACCTCTTATTAGCCTCTGGTCGCTGTCGGCTCCTGCTGCTGCACATCACCGTCGTCCGCCTCGACGTCCTGAGGATACGCTCCCACCTGGATCACCCGCAAGCCACCGCATCGCCGCGCAGTCCTCCTCGCCGCGCA